TGAGTGCAGAATTATTAGGCAAATTAGTATTTTGACCACATCATCCTCTTTATGCATGTTGTCTTACTCCAAGCTGTATAGGCTCGAAAGCCTACTACCAATTAAGCATATTAGGTGATGTGCATCTCTGTAATGAGAAGGGGTGTGGTCTAATGACATCAACACCCTATATCAGGTGTGCATAATTATTAGGCAACTTCCTTTCCTTTGGCAAAATGGGTCAAAAGAAGGACTTGACAGGCTCAGAAAAGTCAAAAATAGTGAGATATCTTGCAGAGGGATGCAGCACTCTTAAAATTGCAAAGCTTCTGAAGCGTGATCATCGAACAATCAAGCGTTTCATTCAAAATAGTCAACAGGGTCGCAAGAAGCGTGTGGAAAAACCAAGGCGCAAAATAACTGCCCATGAACTGAGAAAAGTCAAGCGTGCAGCTGCCACGATGCCACTTGCCACCAGTTTGGCCATATTTCAGAGCTGCAACATCACTGAGTGCCCAAAAGCACAAGGTGTGCAATACTCAGAGACATGGCCAAGGTAAGAAAGGCTGAAAGACGACCACCACTGAACAAGACACACAAGCTGAAACGTCAAGACTGGGCCAAGAAATATCTCAAGACTGATTTTTCTAAGGTTTTATGGACTGATGAAATGAGAGTGAGTCTTGATGGGCCAGATGGATGGGCCCGTGGCTGGATTGGTAAAGGGCAGAGAGCTCCAGTCCGACTCAGACGCCAGCAAGGTGGAGGTGGAGTACTGGTTTGGGCTGGTATCATCAAAGATGAGCTTGTGGGCCTTTTCGGGTTGAGGATGGAGTCAAGCTCAACTGCCAGTCCTACTGCCAGTTCCTGGAAGACACCTTCTTCAAGCAGTGGTACAGGAAGAAGTCTGCATCCTTCAAGAAAAACATGATTTTCATGCAGGACAATGCTCCATCACACGCGTCCAAGTACTCCACAGCGTGGCTGGCAAGAAAGGGTATAAAAGAAGAAAATCTAATGACATGGCCTCCTTGTTCACCTGATCTGAACCCCATTGAGAACCTGTGGTCCATCATCAACTGTGAGATTTACAAGGAGGGAAAACAGTACACCTCTCTGAACAGTGTCTGGGAGGCTGTGGTTGCTGCTGCACGCAATGTTGATGGTGAACAGATCAAAACACTGACAGAATCCATGGATGGCAGGCTTTTGAGTGTCCTTGCAAAGAAAGGTGGCTATATTGGTCACTGATTTGTTTTTGTTTTGGAATGTCAGAAATTTATATTTGTGAATGTTGAGATGTTATATTGGTTTCACTGGTAATAATAAATAATTGAAATGGGTATATATTTGTTTTTTGTTAAGTTGCCTAATAATATGCACAGTAATAGTCACCTGCACACACAGATATCCCCCTAACATAGCTATAACTAAAAACAAACTAAAAACTACTTCCAAAAATATTCAGCTTTGATATTAATGAGTTTTTTGGGTTCATTGAGAACATGGTTGTTGTTCAATAATAAAATTAATCCTCAAAAATACAACTTGCCTAATAATTCTGCACTCCCTGTATTTGTGTTCAGTGAAGTCCCCCGAGTAGAATAGTACCCCCATGTACAGGATTTACGGTGTCTTGGAAAGTTATAGGGTTAAATATAGTGCTAGCAAATTAAATTCCCTTTACTTTCGGCATGGGTTGTCAAGCAGGTCCCGCTAATTGTAATTAATTAAGATACCCAATTATGTAAAATTATTACATAAATATATATGTAGAATTAATATATGTATATATATACGTATGTGAATATATATGTATATATAATTTTTTAAAAATATTTTAATTTATATATATAGGTATATATATAGTGATATATACGTATATATATATATGTATTATTTCGTTCTACGTGTATTTTGATATAAATATATATTAATATCACAATACAGTTAGAACGAAATAACACACATCTATATATTTTTTTATTTTTTTTATTATTTTTTAACGTATTTACATATTTAATTTTTTTATATTATATCTAAATATATATATATATATATATATATAACAATAATTATATATATATATATTTAATCAGTATCAGTCTACGTGTAATTTGATATTAATATATATATATATATATAATTATATATATATTAATAGTAAAATACACCTAGACAGTGTACGTGTGTGTATGTATATGTGTATATATATATATATATGATCTAAGTATATATTTTTTTACACTTTTAACTTTTATTTAATTTTATTTTCAGCCAGTAGGGGGACCACCTGTCATTACAGGCAGCCCCCCTGCTGGCAATGCTGCAGCCAGCTACCCCGGCCATGTGATTGTGAGGTCCTCGCAAAGACCTCACTCTCACATGGCCGGGGGGGCTTCCAGGGAGTTGGACGTGCCGCGGGGGGCTCCCTGGGAGTCCGCCCAACCGCGTTCGCCGGCGTGGGATCGCCGGCGACCGGGTAAGTAATGAAAGACCGGAGGGCGTACTATTACGCCCGGTGGCGTTTAGAGCCGCCTAAAATAGGGCGTAATAGTACGCCCTCTGGTCTTAAGGGGTTAAAACCCTAGTGCTGGTTAATTACATTCACCTGGTTGATAACATTCAAGGGGTGACTCCCACCAATTAACCCTATCATGCTGGGAATAGAGAGTGCTCCAATCTATTACTAACATAAAAAAGCCTCTCTGACCCTGCCACAATATATACACACACATACCTTTATTTCCTATATATGTATAATATATTATAATTAAATCATTTTAGAATTTATTATACATATATAATGCATCTATGATTTCATCAAAAGTGTATTTTGAGATATATGTGTATATATATCACAGTACACTTATAATGAAATCATATAACTATCGCCCAATATCATTGCTCCGGGTATTGTCAAAAATCTTAGAAAAATGTGTCCATACGCAACTATGTGAGTACTACCAACAATCAAACTATCTGACCCCTGATCAATCGGGCTTTCGCCAGAATCACTCCACTACAATTGCCCTCTTAAAAGTTTGCAATGACATCCAAACTGGCATGGAACAAGTAGACTTAACTGGAGATATTTTCCTTGATTTTGCTAAGGCCTTTGACACAGTAGACCACGACATTCTACTGCACTAACTCAAAAACTCAGGTATTGGTGATCGTTCGCTAACCTGGTTTCGATCGTATGTATCGGATCGCTCGCAATATGTGTCCATTTCTGACAGCGACTCCCTCCCCCCTCCCAGTCACGTGTGGTGTTCCCCAAGGTTCCATTCTTGGCCCCCTACTATTTACATTATTTATAAATGATCTGCCTAATGTCTGCAAATCCTCAAATGTACACATGTACGCAGATGACACGGTAATCTATGCGAGCAATTCCGATCTACCGCAGCTTGAGGCTGTGCTCCAAGACCAGTTTACAGAGGTAGAAAAGTGGATCACAAAAAACAAACTCTTCCTGAACACTGACAAAACTGTCACAATGATCTTTGTAACAGTACCTAAATTACACAAATTACACGATTCCCACCTATCCGTCAAAACAAATTCAAATGGCACACTGACCGCAGTCCACTCTTTAAAATACTTGGGTATGATGTTAGACCCCAATTTATCTTTTGGCCTGCACATAGAAAAGCTTACATCTAAACTTTATCCAAAACTAAGTGCCCTGTACAGAAACAAAAAAATATATATTTTATTATTTTTTTAGCATCCTGGGGGACTGCCTGACAGCTCAGACAATCCCCCTGCTGGCAGCTCCTAGAGTCCTATTGCGGTGATGTGATCATGGTGATCACATGGCCATGGAGGGCCGGAGCTGCTGTAGGGGGACTGCTGGGGTCTCTGCCAGTCCTCCTCGACCGTGATCGCCGGTCCAGGGCCCCTATTTGTCGTGGACGTCCTTAACGACCGGTTTTTTGTCGGACGTACCTAGTTTGTACTCGGTCGTTAAGAGGAAATTATACATAGATATATTTATATATATATATATATATATATATATATATATATATATATATAATTTAATTCTAAGTGCATTTTGATATAAATAAATATATATTTATATCAAAATACAATGAGAATTACATTTATATACATAATTTTTTTTAAATTATTTTTAGTTTAATTTTAATTATTTGTCATAAATATATATACACATAATATATAGTTATTATATATATGTATCCACACACACGTGTGTAATTTTACATTAAGATAACGTTATATATAGATATTATATATATATATATATCTATCTCATATATATATATATATTTTTAAATTAACTATATTTTAATTTTTTTTAACGTTTCCACCAGCAGGGGTAATACCAACAAAAGTGGCTGGAAGCAATCACGATCTCTTCCAGCGCTCAAAATAGCCGGGTACATCCGAGGTCATTAAGGGCCGTTTTTTGTCGGACGTACCTGGTACGTCTGCGGTCCTTAAGGGGTTAAATACACTTTAGCTTATTTAGCACTATTTAATTTGTCTCCCATGTTATAATGAGTGGGCACACCAAAATTGGGGTACTGTGGCATCATTACAGTTGGTGTTTCACACTGTGGTGACTCATAGTGTCACCTCAGTACCAGACCCCATAAGATCCATTCGCCAGGTGAAAACTTTGTGCATCCGGTGCTTGGTGTTCCTTTGAATCGTCCTATACCATCACTTCAATAGAAATTTGGACTGTAAATACCCAAAACTGGGCTCATAAAAGAAACATTCCTACATGGCCCGAGAAATCACCATTCATAACTCGGAAGTGTTTCACTTATCATGGTTTCAGTATTAAACACACCGAGTTAATTTACTACTAGACAAACCTGCCGCTAATCTTTTTGCACTACCATATTACCCACACGCAAAAAAAGGGGGAAAAAAAGTCTACGTCATGACGTCGCTGCCAACGCACAGACAGGACTCTGAGACACCGGCAAATGACAGTGGGAGGAACTTGCGCAAAAAAAAAAAAAACAACAACATCCGGGGATCTAGCAGACACAGAATCGAGGCGCAAAATGGCTGCCCGGAACTGAGCCGAATCTGCTGATCCTGGTGGTGAGTGACCGTTAGTAGTAGAGGAATTTAACGGTTAACGTGAGGCAGGCGCGTGCCGATTGTCAGCGCTTGCGTTGCGTGTGAGACCGTCCCTGAAAACGGCGGCTGGCCTAGTCCAAGGAAGGAAATAAAGGGTGGTGTGACTCGGCCAGGAGCTCTTATTGGAGAGCTGTGCTGAGGGGGTTGTTCTAATCGTTTATGGGACTCCTGCCTGTACTGTTAGAGTTAGCAAGGAGCTGGATCGCCACGTAGAAAAATGGTTTTGCAAGCCTCTTCTTAGTATTCTTCCCCCGGGTTCTGGTCAACTTAGAATAGGCGGGCGGTTATATAAGCTCGTGTACCTGACCCCTTCATGACACCCCCATTTTTATGGGCCGGAATTGAGACGGCAATATTTGAATCGTTATTATTTTTGCTATTGAATATTTCTGGACGTGTAAAACAAAAATCACCAAAAGGGACAAATATATATAAAAAAAACAAACTTAACGGAGCCGCTGTGCTAGTGGTAACCTGCTAAGGCACAGAGCTCTAATCAAGAGAGACATAACGCTGCTACCCTGTTATTGCTGCTCCCGGCGGTATTTTAATAAACGAGCTGTTCATATATAGGTGGAGCTTGACGTTGTTAAGCTGAGAGATTTTCATTTGGATTCGTTTTGGTCACCCTATTATGATGAGACCTGCGGTGTGTAGTAATCTGGTGGGTTATTGGCTAAAGTAACTGAATTTGGAAAATTTCTGTTTTTAGTCTGGGTGTTTTTGTGCAAACATTTGAATTCACGATATTTCCCACTATATTAAAGGACCACTATGGTGACACAGACCACTTCAGCTCAATAAAGTGGTCTGGGTGCCAGATCATCCAGGTTTTAACCATGCAGCTGTAAACATAGTAGTTTCAGAGAAACTGCTATGTTTACATTGCAGGTTTAATCCAGACTCTAGTAGCTGTCTCCCTGATAGCCACTCGAGGCGCTTCTGTGACGCTCAATGCCAAAATCGCATTGAGAAATGCTTTCCTATGGGCGTTTTTGTTGCGCGCGCAGCTCTGGCTGCGCATGCGCATTCGGCTCCACTGGGGAGCTGATGTCGGATGGGGAGGAGAGATCACCAGCGCCGAGGGAGCATGGCGCTGGATGAAGGTAAGTGGCTGATGGGGTTTTAATCACCTTCAGCGCCGAGGGAGGGCGGCCCTGAGTGTGGGGTGGGGGTACCTAAGGATTATATAGTAATAGGAAAACGAGTTTGTTTTCCTGACACTATAGTGGTCCTTTAAACAGCCCTGAGGTTTTTATTTTCATAACGCCAACCATAGGCGTGTGCAGCCTGTTGCATTAGGGTGTGCACCCTAAAGCACAAGCACACGCCGCATATGTATGTATGTATATATACACGCACATTGCTATGTGGGTGAGGGTGTTTGTGTGTGTGTGCGCTTGTGAGGGTGCTGTTAATGTACTGTGGGTGAGGGTGCTGTTTGTGTGTTAGGGTCCTGTTAGTGTGCTGTTTGTGTGCTGTATGTGTGAGGATGCTGTGTGGGTGTGGTTTGGGTGATTTGTGGGGGTGGAGGCAGATTAGTTAATAAATATCCCCCCTCCCTTCTTACCTTATGTAGGGAGGGGGGACCGCACTGCCTTCCCTGGTGGTCCAGTGGAGGTGGGGGCAGTTTGCTTAATATCCCCCCTCCCTTGTTACCTTATGCCAGGGAGGGGGGATCCTTTCTGCCTTCCCAGGTGGTGAGAGTGAACGCTATTGAGCCTATTAAGAAAAGCTGAATTAACACACTAGTGGATGCAGCTCATTTCAGAATGGAAACAAAGAAATCATAAAAAGAACTGTCCACATATATGGTGGCCATTTAAAGGGATACTTTGTGCCAGGAATACAAAGCTGTATTCCTTGCAATACCGATCCCACTATCACCCCCCTCCACGGTAAATAAAGGGTTAAAACCCTTTATGTATTTACCTTACCCAGCACCAATGCCGGCACTGGGTAGAATGCATTGATTCAATGTCTCTCTGAGGAGGTGCTGATTGGCCAAAACTTCGTCGGATTGGCTAAAAACTGCAATTTTGATGATGTCACTGGGGGGCTGGGCCAGCACTGGCAGACCTGTGGAGAGTTTTAACCCATTTTCTTAAGGGGGGCAAGCCACCTAAACTGTCAAGGAATTCACTTTGTCCAAGGAAAAACCCAAGCTTTTAGATAATTGTATTTGGGTAGGTCTTTTTGCACCTATCGTTCCTGTATGTGTTTGTGTTAGTACGTATTGTACAGCGTCGTAGAATATGTTGGCCCTATATAAATAATTGTAATTGCATCTTTGAGAGATATATCCCTGATTGAAAATTTCACATACACCCAGAATGTGTATACCTTTACAGGTCTCACCAGTGTTTTATCTGAAACAGGTGTACCAAATATCTAAGAGTATGTTTGACAAATTTGCTTGGAATCTAGGAGCCAGCAAAAAAAGTTAGGAGCCAGGTTTTTCAATGTCAAAAATACAATTCTTAAAGGGACACTATAGTCACCAGAACCACTACAGCTTAAAGGACCACTCTAGGCACCCAGACCACTTCAGCTTAATGCGTGCGCGTGCGCACACTCCCTTACTGACACACACACTCACTCACTGGCATACACACATTCACTGTCACTGCAATAATCACACATTAATGTGACCACCCAGCCTGGTTGAGCTTTCCCTGTGGTCTAGTGGGGCTTCCATCATCTCCCTGCACTGCTCCATAGAGCGCTGTTTAGTGATGCCGGGGCCGGAAATCATAGTCTTCACGGTGACCTGGCGCCTGGGAATTACCGATCCCTGTCTTATAGGCAATAAAGAAATAACACACAGGTGGTCTGAACACTGCCCACAACCATGCAGTTAGGCTGTACATTGGTGGGCCAGCAAATTGCACACAAATAAGCAGTTAAGCCAGGGCTTGACAAATTTGCGTTCAATCTAGGAGCCAGTTTTTTTTTTTCAACGACGACAAAAATACAGTTCTTAAAGGAACACTTTAGTCACCAGAACCACTACAGCTTAATGTAATGAGCACTTCCTGTCAGTCCGGCCAGTACAGGAAACTGAAGCAGGAAACTGAAGCTCCTGTACCGTGGTCCGCTCTGCTCCTCTCGACCAAGCTACACCGAGTGACTAGTAGGGGGAGCGCTGTGTGCTTCCTTCCTGACGGTCACTCGATTCTTGCGCCCTAATGCGGCCGTGTGTTTCGCCTTATGGACGCGCCTGGCAGGTGTGCGCTGGGCTACTGCCTCCTCTCACATTATCAGCAATATTTTCCAAAATCTGAAGTATCGGCCAAATATCTATCAATTAATGCATCTCTATGAGGAGATGCTGATTGGTAATTGCTAATCTCCGCTACAGAGGCGGGACAGCTACTGCAAGACCGGCATGGCGATGGAAAAAAGAGGAGTAAAAACATAATTTCCAATGCGATCGGTGCGGGCTGGTGACCTAAATATACAAATTCACTGACCGACACCCGTACTCACTCACACACTTGACAGAGAAAGACAGGCAGGCATACACACTTGACAGAGACAGACAGGCAATAGTGTTCCTTTAAGAATTGTATTTTTGTCGTTGGGGGGGAGGAGGAATGGCTCCTAACTTTTTTTTTTTAGCTGGCTCCTAGATTGAAAGCAAATATGACAAGCCCTATCATATAAATCTTGAAAAAGACCCGGCAGGGTCAAAACGTTGGTCGATTTCTGTATACATCCTATGTATTAATAAAGCACTATTTTTCACCTATATGAAGAACTGTGAGTGCATCCCATTTTTTTATTTTTTTCTATATATTGGACGTCAGCGGATACAGCAAGAAATCTTTATTTTTAATGTAAGGAGAGTGCCAAGTATATATGTGTGTGTGTGTATGTGTGTATATGTGTGTATATATATATATATACACAGAAATTGAAAAATATATTTTTAGCCACCCTTCTAACTTTTGGGCTCAGGAGGGTGGCTCCCTTGGGGTCCAGTGGGACTGGGCAGCAGCAGGTGACATCTGGTTAGTGTGGCTGGCTGCGGCTAATAGGAGTAGGCAGCTGCTGTTGCAGACTCCCTCTTCCTCTGTGTGTGCCGGGAGGAAGTGAAGGAAACTGTAATAACTTCCTCCCTACGCTGAGGTCATGCAGGGTAAAGGTCGGCTGGCTGGCTCTGCGGCATGGGGCCGTAGGGGAGCAGGGTCGCTCATTCGGTATGGGGGCAGCAGGCAGGCGGGGAGCAGAGCTGTCTTTACCTAGTGTCCTGCCAGAGATTGCCATTCCCCTGCGATGCCTCTGCACCGGGAGGAAGTAATTACAGTTCTTCACTTTCTCCCGGCGCACAGAGAGCTGCATGGGGATTGAGACAGGAGGAGGAGGGAATGAGCTGACCAGTCGCCATGGCGACCTGGTGCCTGGGATTTGTCAAGTCCTGAGTTAAGCAGTATATAGCCCACAAACAGGCAGTTAAGCAGTACATAGGTTGGTTATCTGCACCAAAACAAAAGATAACTTTCACATGCATTTGCTGATAGAGGAGATGAATCACAACCTGTGTGTACATTCCTTTTCTGGTTATTGGAGAGACAGAACAATCCATGCGTTTGTTCCACAATAAGGTTGGCCTTCACAAGCATTATAGGAAACCCAACCTTTCTGCAACACTGAGACCAGGGTACAGCCTTTTCCTTCATGGAAATAGCCCAGAATTTTGGTACAAGCTTGATGAAACACAACCCCATATGTACTTGCCTTAAAGATCTCAACTGTGCTTGTGCATGCTATATGAATAACGAGGCTAAAAGCAATTGGTGTACCAACAACTTTGCCTAATTGCCTCTCTGTGTGTAGATAAAATGATGCTACCAGAGGCTAATGTGGATTGCACCCGACAGTCACATAGCCAAAAATGAATTTATTTAGGAAAGAAAGAGAGACTATCTAGGTGAAAGCTACTTGTCTCACCTTAATAAGCCTCTGGTGTGCTTGAGGGCTGGTGAGAGCTCACTTTTAACTAATTTGAAACACACTCGGTTGCCAGATAATTACTGCTCGGTTTAAATACCCTGCCATTAGGAACCAGAGTTGGCGCCAGGTGCCACGATCGTTTGGTCATGTGCGTAGCACTCTATGATCTACCCAACTTGTTCTGACTGCCACTTAGACGTTTGGAAAAAGTTTGTATGTGTGCCGGCAGATTGCAACCAATTAGTTCCAAGAGACTCTGCAGTCTGGTTGTTAACACCCTTTGAATGTGTCCTGTGGTAGTCCCAAGCTCATGGTGGCAGACCCCCACCTAGAAATTTGTTGTCCGCCTCTGTATTGGTGATATATGTGCACCTCTCTGTGTAGACATCCATATTTTCAATGTCTGTGATGTTGGCGAAGAGAGGTCACTCCCCTCAGCAGATAAGTTCTTCAAGTTCCAGATGAAAGCAATGTGTGAGGAATTGCCTATCCCACATTCTAGGGTGATCCACTGTTTCTGAGGTGGATTAGTGTGCCATTCTAGGACCCTATGGAGAACTGTAAATGTAGCAGTCTGGGTAGGATGTTCTTCACTACTGCCGAGCCATGGTATGTGCGAGTAGTTCCAGTTTACCACGTCTTGGTGTATTTGGGTTAAGAGTATCAAGAAGTCCGTCTGATATAAGGCAGCCGGGTCCTTTGTGATCCACATGCAATATCATTGGGGGGGGAATGAAGGGCAGCATCGTTATCCGAGAGCACTGGTACGTTAAGTATTTCGCACTTAGGTTTAGTTTGAGTCCCAATAATAGGCCATTCTTCTTGAATTCCCTCATTAGACAAGGCAGTGAGAGTCTGGGTTGAGTAACGAAAAACAGCATATCGTCTGCATGTGCCGCGACCTTACGGGTAACTCCTCGGACGTCATTGATGTATGCATTTTGCCACACCTCTTCCAACAGTGGCTCTTATGTTAGGCCAAAGGGGACAGGGGGCAACCCTGCCTAGTGTCATTTCGGATTAGGAATGAGTCGTCAGTGAGTAAATCTATTTTAAGTTTTTCATTAGTTGTACTTGGTGTGTAAAACTGAGAAAATATTTATTTTAAATATTTTATTGTTATTTAATATTGTGTTATATATAAAAAATGTGTGGGTGCTTTAAAAGGGAAACTATTATCACCCAGACGACTTTATCTCATTGAAGTGGTCTAGGTGCACTGTCCCTTTCTCCTTAACTCTGTAATCTAAAACATTGCAGATTCAGGGAAACTGCAATGTTTATGTTGCATGATTAAAGGAACACAATAGCATTAAGGATACATATCTGTATTCCTGATGCTACAGTCCTGGTGTCCCTTAACATTTTGCCCCCTCTGGTAGCACTATTCTGAAGGCCTGCTGATGGGTCAGCCCAATGCTCTTCAGAGAGAGACTACAATTCCTCCATAGAAAATTATTGCCTGACCGTGACAGCACTGCACCTGGGCATGCAACGTCATGGTATGTTACAATATGAGAGCTGAGAAGTAAGATTCCCGGTGTTCTATCAAATTTCCCTACCCGTGAAAATCCCTTACCCTCGTCAGTTCCAGTGTGGGGAATCGGATGGAGCCTGCCGACTCTCATACCCAGAGGACATGGAGGTGTGTCTTGAAACTGTACTTCCAAGCCTTCTAATGTTTTAATATTGTTTTTTTAGGGGATAGGAGGGGAGGGGCCTAAGGGACACCTGGGTGTTAGGAAAACAGGTTCAAATTGTGGTAGAATTAATTTAGCAAACATTCCAAAAGTTCTTCGTCGCATCTCAATATAGCCTTGAACCATAAGGGGTTAAGGGACATTTGACTGTATGTGTGTGTTTTGGATCCCTGGTGATTCAGTGGCAGAGGGTGCAGACTTAAGTCACCACTTCCTCGCTGTCAGAATTCTTATTGAGTGCAGACCAAGAATACCAGCAGTTACACTGTGACTCATGCAGTGCGTGTGAGTATATATATCTGTGTGTCCGCTCATGCCTAATTTACAAAATCAAAACGTCCTTATTGCATTTTTCTTGTCATAAGACAGGCAGAGAGTGTAGCTTCTTTAGGGTCCTTGTGTCAGGATTATAGTTGATCCAGAACACAGAATAGTATCATACCTAGGACTAAGGATGACGTCTAACTGGAACTTAGAATGGCCGGATTTAACGTACCTGAGAATAGTCAAAATACTTGCCGAGGTCAGGGACACAGAAAGAGACACAACGATGAGGAAAGCCAGAAGTCAAGGATACCAGAAATCAGGGAAGTCAAAACTAAGCCAAAGTCAAATACCAGAAAAACACAATCAGGAACATACTCTCAGATAACCAGCTAGTGGAAACCACGACAGGGCACTGACAAAAAGGTAATTTGTGTTTAAATAACCCTCCTTAGGCTGCAATTGGCTGTTTCTGACCTCTGACCCCAAAACATGCGTCGTCTTTGATGTGGGCGGGTGTAAGTCTCCTATTAAAACCGGAACCACAGCGGCCGGCGTCTCTAGGAACGCCGTACTCGCTGGGGACCAGGATATGAGGAGTCGGGCAGCGGTTTGCCGCGACCAAGGTAAGTATTTGACACCTTGCTATGTTATGAATTTCCCAATTTTGTGCTAACTGATATGCAGGATTTCCAGTCTTGTTAACCTTGCTATTATAGCAATAATTCATGCCTTATTCTCAAAAGATCCTTATCCTTGCTTCATTTTACCTAAGTCAACCCCTTTCAAATATCATGAACAGTTTCAAACTTAGCATGTTTCCTTCTGCTTGTAGTCTCCATTTATCTACTGCTGGTAACTGCATATGAATATTGATCTATTTTTCCCAATTTGCAGATTACTTTACCCTTAATATTTTTGAAAGCCACCACAAATCTGGGAGCAATACTAATCTTCTTTCAAGCACCTTAAAGCTACACTACAAAGTCCTATTGCCATTTTGACACAATTTCTGGGAGAGGTAATACAGATACATGTGTTTTCATGAAGAGAGGGGACAAGCCAGAAGGACACAGGCAAATGAGGCCCAAAACCTTCCCGGCCAGCAACTACCCAGGCAACAGCAGGCAAATGTTGCTAGAAATACGGGAAAGCCTCCGTCACTTGCCAAAACCATCTGATGTTTCCAAAATGGAGGATCCCAGGCAGGGTCGCAATCCTCCCAAGTTTGGCACCTACCATAAAGCTCTGGCTGAGATTCGCAACTCTCTGCAACCATTTGCAAATGCAACTGGGTCTTCTACCAGAAGTGGTACAGAAGTCAACAGACAAATGCTTTATGACTTGCAAGCTGCTGGATTTAATGAGGTAAAATACATGCATATGAAAGGTAGTCCTATGCCAAAAGCTTTTTGAATTTACCAAATTTCCACTAGTTCCCTAAAACTTTTTAATTAATGGAATACTCCAGACACCAAAACAACTTAATCCAAATTAAGTTGTTATGGTGCCTGGAGGCACACTTGCCTCAAGGGGTTAAACCGTTGTCATTCACTAAACTGGCTTGGAAAGAAACATACCTTTTTCTAAGCCAGTTTTGTGCATGGGGAGTCACTGATTGGCTGAAAGCATCAGCTGACCGCTCACAGCTAATCAGTCATGCCTTTGCCCAGCTTCACCCTGCTCTTCTTGAATCTGAAAGTTCAGAAGTTGCATGCCACCTTAGGAGAGTGGACATCGCCGCTGGAGGCAACTTTGGGGTTAAACTGTTTGAGAATAATTTAACCCCTTGAAGTAAGAGTTCCTCCTGGCATCATAACAACTTTGTTTAGATGAAGTTGCTTTTGGTACCTGGAGTGTTCCTTTAAAGGGACACTAGTAACCTGAACCACTACAGCTTAATGTGGTGGTTCTAGTGTCTATACTATGTCCCTTCAGGCTTTTTAATGTAAACAGCAGTGTTTGTATTGCTGCCTAAGAACACCTCTAGTGGCAGTCACTCAGAAGATCACTAGAGAGGTGCTTACACGCTCTGCATAGCAAGTTAAAGGGACACTATAGGCACCACAACAACTTTAGCTTTATGAAGCAGTTTTGGTGTCTTACGACTCAATTTTGTAATTTACCTTAAATAATTGTATCTCAATCTCTAAATTGAACCTTAATCACATACAGGAGGCTCTTGCAGGGTCTAGCAAGCTATTAACATAGCAGGGGATAATAAAATCTTAATTAAACAGAACTTGAAATAAAGAAAGCCTAAATAGGGCTCTCTTTACAGGAAGTGTTTATGGTAGGCTGTGCAAGTCACATGCAGGGAGGTGTGACTAGGGTTAATAAACAAAGGGATTTAACTCCTAAATGGCAGAGGATGGGCATACACCAAAACTGCTTCATTAAGCTAAAGTTGTTCAGGTGACTATAGTGTCCCTTTAAGACAAAAACCTAAGACATTTATATGTGCAAATGTTGATATTGTAACCGCATCTAGTTCCCCTCTTTACCACTATAACGTCTTAAAGCATAGAATTTAGCAGGGCTAACCGTATAGATATCAAAGCTATAAAATTATATAGGTAATAAGAGTTTATCGATTTTTAAAATCTATAATTAATTGAGAATACAGTTAACATAGGAATTGTCTTTGAAGCAATAACGTTTCGTCTTTTAAAATATTTTATTAAACAGACATATAAAAACTTAATAATACATTAGAATAATTTATAGCAGAGTTTATAAAATTAAAGTATGTTTGCAATATCCATAAAATAGAATTACATATCCTCTTGAACAAGTCAACCCCTCAGTCATGATAAAATGGAGCAGCTTCTCTGCATCCGAAATTCTCTCCTCTGTCTTTCTTATATTGATAAGTACACAAATGTATGCATTAGATTTTTTAATTAAGTCATGTTAGGACCTTCCTTAACTTGGCAAAGATATGAGGCCATGACTTTTCTCATTACACATGACCTAGACATCTTATCTATGCTTAGACTAAAACTTAAGGTTGGACGTGACATGGAAAATTCCCTGACTTGGTGTCACACTAACCTAGGACAAGATGGCATCTTAAAGTCTAAACCTCATATTTCATATTCACTGACCATGGGTAAAAGGTTTATCAAAGAAACATTGTATGAGAATCAATATGTTCCATTTCTAGCAAATTGTCAGTTTTCAAAATCTCTGAAAGAGAAATACAACTTTCCATTCTAAAAACATGTAATATTTACATATGCCCAAAACAATATAAACTCCGAACCTAATAATGTGTACTGTTTCAGCAGCCCTCACACAAAAGTGACACACACAATCCAATAAATAACAAAAGTAAAAAGTGTTTAACACAATTTTTCTCCAAAGTTTAAATCTGCAAAAAGTCATACAAACAACATAACAGTGCTGACCATGTTATCTAAAATAAAAACCAAACAAAAAAAAACATTAAAATGTGTATCTCAGGGTCCAACTCACATTTACCAGAGCACCGTCAACCATGGCCCCATTTGAGAGGGATATGTCCCACAGTATCAAGGATTAACTGCCCTACACTCTCTTGAGTTTTAATCTTTAACATGGTGCAGTATTAAATATATTTATTTCTGAAACACAAAAGCAGCTTACTACAGGTCCAGGTGGGTTTCCCAGACAGGTACCCACTACCACCACTCATCAAACGCTTTCGCGTTCTGAGCTTCTGAGATTCTCAGCTCCGCTTCCCACTGATGTGTAGTGATGCGGTTTGCTAGCCTTATGGGCTTCATCTGACTGATAAGTAAAGCCATTGACACCCACAGCTAGGGTTGACTGGGCTCTGGTAAATGTGTGTTAGATCCCCAGGCATACACTTGTGTATACACAAAAGTCTTTTTTCATCAGATCATCTGCAATATTATGCTATTAAGCCAATTTCCTGGCACTATTAACTAGGGTTAATAGGTCCCCCTCTCTCGCGCCCCCTCTCCTGAGTTGCTGAATTGCTAAAACCCCTTCAGCCACTTACCTGATTCCAGCGCCGATGTCCCTCGGTGCTGGGTCAGGCTCCGCCTACGCCCCTCCCCTGCCAACGTCAGACAATGGCCGTGCGCATTAGACCTCCCTATATTAAAGCATTATATAGGGAGGTCTAATGTCCGTTACGATTCCGGAAGCGCCCCCAGTGGCTGTCTGGTAGAAAGCCACTGGGGCAAACTTAGAGCTGCAATGTAAACATTGCAGTTCTCTGGAACTGCAATGTTTTACATTGCAGCACTAAGTGCAAAAGGGCAACAGCACCCAGACTACTTCAATTAGCTGAAGTGGTCTGGGTGCCTACAGTGTCCCTTTAAACTTTTTTAGAAAAATGGTGTTAAGTATATTTAGCACCACTGTATTATCTTATTTAATGGATATCAAGTTGTTTTTACATTAATCTGTAGTTTCTGTGCAATCCTTAAAGACACCAAAGGGAGAATATTCAGTTGCCTGGTAGCAGAAAACATTTTGGAATATATAAGATTTGTAAGCGCACACATTTCGTTCATAATCTATTATGGATAGTGTTAACATATTACATTTTCCTAAAATAGGACATGGTTGTTAAAGCCCTTCAACAAACAAATAGCCGCAGCATAGAAGCTGCAATTGAGTACATCAGCAGGATGAACTATCAGGAGCCGTACCGAGAGCCACTCATTGCTGCAACTGCTAGAACACACAATCTTGTAATGAAGCCCACAGGTAAGCTGCTGGAGTTTTGTCATAATTTTATAATGATAATTTGTGATTCATTTATTTAAAAAAAAATTTTGTGCATTTGCCTTGTGATATTTTACATATAAGTGGAGATTTTGTAAAATAAGGTAGCTTTTTTTTTTTTTTTATCCGATTGAAAATTAAGTTGTATTTCTGGCCGAAATGGAAGGCGCTCGTGAATGTACTTTTAACCCCTTAAAGCGGCACTGTCATGCTGAATCCTGGTTTGTTTGGTTTTTTTAACCCTCCTCCTGCCTCCACTACATCTAACTGACACCCTAGTCACCCCCAAATGCCCCTAAGCCCCCCACATTACCTATTTTGTATTCCTTATTTTCTGCCCCGATCTATATTCAGGGCGCCGCCATCTTTGTGTGGGTAGATGAAATCCCTGTGGGACATGTCTTCTGCCCACACTAGACAGACTGTGAGATTCCCGCACATGCCCAGTGAAACACCTGGACATGTGAACGGAATTTCATCTATTCATTCATCAGACAGACGAATGAATGAATAGAAATGTCAGCCGAACAAACAAACACTGTGTATCAGTGTTCGTTTGTTCGCTCAGTTTATTATAAGGAGCTACCGGCATGCTAAACCCCGAGTAGGGGTATGTCTGGTAAACAGTGAGCAGCCTGTGGCTGCTCACTGTAAAAAAACAAAAAATAAACTATTGGCCCCCACCCCTAAACGACGGATGTGGTCCCTAAAATAAAATAATACAGTAGGTCCCCCATTATCTTTATGGCATTATCTGTCCCCCTCATTATCATTATGGCCGCCGCCCAGGGGTGGGGGCCGGAGGGGGGGTGGACAGTAGGTCCCCCCATTATCATTATGGCCCCCACCCGCCGCCCGGGGGTGGACAGTAGGTCCCCCCCCCTCATTATCATTTGGCCCCCACCCGCTACTCAGGGGTGGGGGCCAGGGGGGGAAGAAAATAGGTCCCCCTCCTCATTATCATTATGGCCCCCACCCACCGCCGAGGCCCCCCCACTATCATTATGACCCCCACCCACCGCGCAGGGTTGGGGGCTGGGGGGGGACATTAGGTCTTATTTTAATTTAGGGCCCCCACCTGTCGTTTAGGGGTGGGGGTCAATAGTTTTTTTTGTTTGTTTGTTTGTTTTTTGCAGTTAGCAGCCATAGGCTGCTCACTGTTTACCAGACATGCCCCTACAACCTTTACTTAGTATTAGTAAAGTTGGCTGAAAGACCAATTTAGGTCTTGCAGCCTTTTAGTAGATAACTCCCTGATACCGTGGGAATTAGGGAGTTATCTACTAAGCGGCTGCAAGATGCAACTGCGGCAATGAATAGGATCGGAGTTTCATTCATTCGAATGAAATTGCGATCCGAACAAAATGCCGAATTGAGTTCTAAAAGAAACGAACATACTGTTCTCATTCAGTTAGAACGCAATTCGGCAGTTTCATGTAAAATGACAGGAAGCATCGCAGGAACACAGAGGAAAGGTAAGGATCGTGGGAAGGATCATTGCTCTGACCAGCGGAAATGAAGCACGCTTTGCTCCTCCGCTGGTCAGAGCTGGTCAAGCGGAGGAATCCTCCATAAGGCAAAGAGTCCCTACTTTGTCTTATGATTTTAAAAAAAAATAAAGACAGGAAAAAAAGAACAGATCCTGAGAGAGGGGGAGAAGAGGAAGAGATTGAGGAAAGGTAAATTCGGCATGACAGTGCCGCTTTAAGGACGGAGGCAATTGTACACGTTCTGATCAAAAAACTTAAACAAAACGTGGAATTTGCACTATATCTCTGTTTAACCATAATTTGTGTCTTTCATATTAAGTGCACCCACACTTCTTATATATTATTTTATTCAGGAGAAACGGCTTTCAATTTCATTTCAAATATTTATACATGAAACATAATTTAGAAATTATGAATTAAATTTTAGAAAAATTAAGATTTTTATTTTTAAAGTTCTGCATGACACTTTAACTGTGAATGTCATAATACTGTTAGGCTTTACTGCACATTTCTGTTCAGCGATGTCTCACGAGTACATCAGTACTCCCTATGTGCAGATTTTATGAGGTTTTGGAAAGTTACAGGGTCCCTTATAAGACTTGCCCATTTCTGTTTTTGCACTTTGAAATTTGCCAGATTGGTTATGTTGCTTTTGAGACCAAATAGGAATGAAAATTACCGCCATCACGGCAAACCACGTGTATATATATAATTTCTTTATTTGTGCCATTACTAAACATTTTTACCACAGTAGGGGAACTGCCTGACAACCCAGGCAGTCCCCCTGCAGGCGAATTAAAAAATTTAGCTTTTTTTTTTTTTTTGTATTGCATATTTTGTGCACTGTTTTATACTTATAGAATTCTTCTTTGAATAAATAAACACTAAAATCACTTGAGTAGAAGGAAAGCGCAACAGAATATATTGTGTAACCTCATACATACATACATACATTCCTCTTGCTTTTGAATAGCATAAATATTTCCTATACAGAGATAAAAATAAAGTACAACATAGTGTAATCTGTAAATATATTCTGTGAGTAGGTGTCAGAATTCAGAACACTCACAATTTTCTGAGCCCATTAAAGTTGGCTCTGGACTTATAGAGCATGTGTGTCTCCTTATGGACACAAGGTAGTTTCCTCCAATGGTTGGGTCCCACAAAGTGTAAGATTGTTGAAATCAGGAACTCAGAAATGTGTTATGACATTGCACGGCACGTGGATCATGCATGTTTGACCCGCGGCAATGAACTGGTGTATTCAGAAGAGTGTGCATCTACTCACCTCTTCTTGGAGTTCCTGATTTCAACAATCTTGCACTTTGTGGGACCTAATCATTGGAGGAAACTACCTTGTGTCCATAAGGAGACATACATGCTCTATAAGTCCAGAGCCAACTTTAATGGGCTCAGAAAATTGTGAGTATTCTGATGTTGCTTCCACTCTGCATGGAGTCCAAGCCTTGTCCTAGCCCTTTTTTTTTATTATTATTATTATTTTTTTATTTTATTTTTTTTAATCCAATTCAGTTTTCAGTTCATGACACCAGGACTGACTTCTATTTTATAGCAGCCATTAGCAAATGAAAAACTTTAAACATCTATCATTTTTATCTGAACTTTGTCTAATCCATACTCAAAAATGCTTTCACTCTGTTTACATGCCCAACTACAGCAGTAGTTGGCTTCCATTAAAATTAATTGTAATAAAAGTAAATTGTGAGTGTACTGTGCAATTAAAGTTCATATTGTATAAACACTGTATAATGGTGTATGTGAAGTCGTCTTAACCCTGTAAATTCAGTGGGAAATGTATGCTGTGTAATTACTATACAAAAGCTTTGTTAGCTACATGGTAAAGCAGACAAAGATGACATACCTCAACCCGACGTATGTAAAACTTACCTTACCAGCACTTCATTGCTACTGGATTTACTTTGAATCTTAGTCTCTGGGTTCTGTGCAAAATGTGCATAGTCCCCTGAAAGTGACAGATCTGCTTTAAAGAAGGCCTAAGTTGTTGATGCTGTTTTGTTTTTAGTATCAGAAAAAATCTAATTAACAAAGATATTCTTAAATGTATTAATACAAGGAAAAACTTAATTGCCATTTTTTTTTGTTCTATTTACTCAAGGATTCTTTTCCCTTTTGAGATAGTCTTCTAAATTTGTGTATTTAAATTTTCTCTGAGAAATTACTCATTGAGATATATATATTTCTTTTTAAATTTCATTTACACAGGTGGTGTTCAACATTCAGTGAATCGTAGGCAAAGTTGGAAGGGTTCAAAAGAGTCGCTAGTCCCACAGAGGCACATCTCTCCCTTATCTGACAGTGTTGTTTATGGATCTGAAAATCCACCCACACAAGCTGAGATGGGTAGACCCTTGTCAGGATCTGGTTTTACTCAATCACTTTCTGTAAATGGCCAGAGGGTGAATCCACCACCACCACCACAAGTAAGAAGTGTTACTCCACCACCACCCCCTCCACCTAGGGGACAGACACCGCCCCCAAGGGGCACAACTCCACCGCCTCCTTCATGGGATCCCAATTCTCAAAATAAACGATTTTCTGGTAACATGGATTTTATAATTTCTCGCATTTCCCCTGTTCCACCAGCAGGTTGGCAGGAAACATATCAGTCTGCTTCCATGAACTCCACACAAATGATGCACACACCATCTTCAGGTCAGAGGGCTATGAACTCTGTGCCTGTTGGAAGGCAGCCCATAATTATGCAGTCATCCAGTAACAGTAAATTTGGCTACTCTGTAAGGTCTGGAATGCACAATGGCAACGGACAGGCTGAGTTTATAAGTCAACAAGGAGGTGGCAATGTAGGAGGCCGTCAACCACCACCTTATCCTATGTCAAATGGTCCAAGCACTGCTCCCTCACCTTCTGTTTATAACAATGGTAACCTGCCCCCATCCATGTTGGTTCCAAATCGAAATAGCCACAACATGGAACTATATAACTTAGGCATTCCAAGTCATCCCACTTCTTGGCCCCAGTCCTCCTCTACCCATTCACCACCTGGAAGTGGGCATGAAATTGCATCTTGGCAACCAAATATCCCTGTCCGATCCAATTCTTTCAATAATCCTTTAGCAAGTCGACAGGTACATCCTGCTAATAGTCAGTCATCTGCCACTACTGTGACTGCAATCACTCCAGCCCCTATTCAGCAACCCGTAAAAAGCATTAGGGTGTTAAAACCAGAACTTCAGACAGCATTGGCACCAGCCCATCCATCTTGGATGGCACAAAATGTACAACCAGGACATATTCCAGAAGTAGTATCACATGGCAACACATTCCAGTCACCACAGGCTGAGGTACCAAATTATCAGGGGCCACCACCTCCATATCCAAAGCACTTAATACAGCCAAACACTACTTTTTATGATACAGGACTTAAACCAAATAAAGAAGAACCACAGACTGCATCCCCAAATATACAAGAAGAAGTGGAGAGGAGTGCGGAAGCTTCTGTGGATACGGTAGAGAAGGAAAAGAAGCAGATAACCACTTCACCTGTACCAGTCAGAAGGAGCAAACGTGATGAAGAGAGAAGGGAATCTCAAATTCAGAGTTACTCACCGCAGGCATTTAAATTCTTCATGGAGCAACATGTAGAAAATATCTTGAAATCTCACCATCAGCGGCTGCACAGAAAGAAACAGCTGGAGAACGAGATGATGCGGGTATAAGTACTACATTTGCAATTTGTGTTCCAAATAGAAAAGTTAAAGTTTGTAGAATTAATTTAGATTTAAAAAAAAACCAAAACTTACATTTTAAGGCAAAAAAAGCAGTGATGCACATGCAATTAATAACATTGTGAAAAATACAATTTTTTTCCCAAAACAAACATGGGCTCTTGGCAAGAGAACTTATTTTCAAGAGTCGTTCACACTTTCACATACATTTTCCTTCATACACATGTCCCTGTAAGTCCCTGTCCTTTGTTTACTCAATTTGTTGTTACACCTCATTGGATGGCTTGATGAGATGCACTGAATATTCACACCAGGATTGCAAATAGCTAATACAATTGTACTGAACTATCTGCTGTGAGCAAGTTACAACAAGGTTTACCTGCAGCTTAATAAATAACAGATGAGACACAAGACCATAGCCTTGAGGAGGAAGTGGCCTGGCAAGAAAGCCAGGGCTTAAGCTGCTATCAAACATCCACCTACCATATTGCAATGGGGGTAGTGACTGGAAGTTATATTAATTTAGTGGAATGACACTTGCAGGGTTATTCATTACAGTGAAAATTAAATGTGTATTCAAATTTAAGGCTAGAGTAGCCAAACTGAAAGCATAACTGGCTTAGAGATTTTTTTTTCCAGTTTGGGTATTTTGACCTTAGAATTTAATTTCATTTTAATTCTTACTTTAGTGAATAACTCTGCTAGACTAAATATGCAGTGAGTTGACACCAATTCAATTCCCCCAGATGTGAGATGGGAAGTTGCAGGGAAAATATACCACACAGTTACTCTTCACATACACACCCAAGTATTCTTGCAATTCTCCACATCAACATATTGACATGCCACCTGAATACAACCTTACGCACACGCACGCAATATGGGATGGTGCCTAAAAAATAATAGACCGTGGGAGAGTGTTAAAATAATAGGAAAAGTGACTGTGAGGAATGTCATTTTGATAAGAAGGGCAGTGAATTGTAAATGACACTATTCTTCCAAATGTTATACCACACTTTAAACTCCTGCATTATACCCACATCGACACTACATTCTTGGGGATTAATCTGCATCAAAATGCTTGACACATGGGGGAATGTTATTCAGACCTGGCTAGTTAATTAAAATTTGTAGAGTGTGTGTGTGTATTTTGCATTATGCTCTAGTTGTGTTTACTGTATTTTCTTATCTTCTGTTCCTATAAAACTATAAAGGGGATATTTAACAGTAAATGAGACAATTATAAAATGTTACAGGGACAATCGGTTGATGAGGATCCTGCTCAACCAAGTTTTCAATCTTTGTCCTATAATTACAATAAAAAGTAAGTTATAAAAGTAAATATGAGCAAATAAGATGGCATGTGAATAGATGCAGATTAATTAGCCAGTGGTGTTTTGGGGCATTTATGTGTTTGGGTGTGGGGTTTAAACAGTGTTGTAACAGTCACTCATATCAGTGGAGTTGATAGATTGGACTCCAAATAGGTACACTGTATTAATTACATTGCTAAATTAAGCTCCTATTTATAGTGGACATGTCAAGTTGTTTGTTTTATTACGTTTGGTTATCCCTTCCTTATGCCCCCTGTATGTTATTGATTACACTTCCTTGCCACCTCTCTTTGTTTCTATTTATCTTTTCTTCCTTTTGTTGGATCTCAATATATAGGAACAGCCATTCTGTTCACCTCTTTCCATAAAATCTGCAGTTTCCCTTCTGTGCGATTGATTTGACTAATGTACAATGGGTCAATTTAATTGGCAACTGAAACGGAACCTTAAGGACAGCGGGCGTGCTATGCACGCCCCCTCCGTTCTATTTACTTACGCGGTCGCCGGCGATCGCGGTGGGGGGGACTCACCTGGCATCCCAGGGAGTCCCCTGATGCCGATTCGGCCCTCCTGGGCTATGTGATTGTGAGGTCCTTGCCTCTCCAGTGCCTCCACCAGTGCCTCTCCCGAGATTGTCTGGACCCACCCCTACATTTTTAATGCACTATGAATAGAAATATGCAGAGGGTCAAAAAAACTGAACAATATATAATATATAATCCTTGTTTGTAGAATTTATTTTCCTGATGTTGCTCACCTCTTGAGTCTACTGGCACTGAAAAACTCTTTACCTCTTAACCAGTATAGGCCACAATGTTATATTTTTGAATAAGAGAGAGAGAGTTTTTTTTAAATTAATTTTTTTTATGATATATATATATATATACTGGTATTTTAATATTTTGAAAAAATTATTTAAAACATGTATCCCACAATATATTAGATTTAAGAGTGTATCCATCAATAATAAATTGATGCCATATAGTGCTGTAACTATTGTGTATCAGCTTAAAGAACTCATTTGAAAAGGCATTCCACTATATGTTTCCGTTTGGGATTCAAAATTGAAGTACTGTATATACTCGAGTATAAGACGAGTTTTTCGGCACATTTTTTTTGTGCTGAAAAACCCCCACTTGTCTTATAGTCGAGTGAGTATCTGTATTATGGCAACTTACATTGCCATACTACAGACCAGGACCGCCGGGCCCATTACAAGCCCGGCGGTCCTGTTGGGGGCTGGCAGGAAGCCGGACCGGAGGAGAGAGAAGGGAGCTGACAGTAAACGCTTCCTGCCAGCCCCCTTCTACACAGTGCACACCACTGGACCACCAGGGAATGAGAGCCCCCCTCCCTGGCCAGCTAACAAGCAGGGAGGGGGGATGAAAAAAACCCCATAAAAATGTAAATAAAATAACATAAAAATATTAATATAAAAAAAATTAAAATAATAATATAAAAATAAAAATGCCCACCCCCCACCAAGGCTCTGCATCACATACACACACACATTGCACTCATTCATACACACACTGCACTCATACGCACACACTGCACTCATATATATATATATATATATATATATATATATATATATATATATATATATATATATATATATATATATATATATACACACACTGCATTCATTATATACACACACTGTAAATAAATATTCAATTAATATAATTATTTGGGGATCTAATTTTATTTAGAAATTTACCAGTAGCTACTGCATTTCCCACCCTAGCCTTATACTCGAGTCAATAAGTTTTCCCAGTTTTTGGGGGGTAAAATTAGGGGTCTCGACTTATATTCGGGTCGACTTATACTCTAGTATATACGGTAGTTCCTATCTGTAGGTGTCATATGCAGAATGTTCTTTGCAAAAAGCTCAACACCTCCCATTGTGCACTTTAAGAAATTCTATCAATTCTATTTTTGCAATGATTGTTGGTTATATAATTATAAGTATAAATGATAACCCATGTGTTTACATTGGCACCACAAATCTCTCATGTACATCAGTCATTATTATTGCACCTATATTGTAAAGATTTTTTCTTTTTATATGAATAACTGATTACACAAAAACATGTTCTCCTTTAATACATGATGCGTTTGTTTTTGTTTGAACAGTGAGGCCTTTTCTCAATCTGTCAGATACGTGTCTCTTAGCCTCTTTTCCTTTCTTCCTTTCCCCCCTTCTCACTCACTAACAGATGGTTTAAAAGTGTTAAGATTGGAGCTTGGCTGACCTGTTCAAGCCTCCATTACTGGGTAGGCAAATAATTATTGGCATTCTGATGAAATAAGAATAGCATGACATTCTTAAGCCTCTGCATGGCTTATCTGTGATAATGTAAGCATGGAGTTAAAGTGGCTCTGTAACAGCCATATAGTTTTTTGTTTTGTTTTTTTGGTCCCCACAATCGTTTAACTAAATTCTCCCTCCCCCCATCTCTGAAATCCTGTATATTCTAAATGAATAAACCGCCATCTTCTAATTACTGGCAGTTCTATAACGTTACTGCCTTCTTCTGCACTGAGTACGAGTTTTAAGTCTTGAGCGTGTTTTATGGACGCCATTATTTTATTTTAGCTAGTTTTTGGTTGCTCTATAAAGAAGTGCAGATATGCATACCCAGTAAGCCATGGGTAATGAAAATGGTACCGGGCAAGGGTAACCCTTGAAAACAATTCAAAATGATCTCACAAGGTTGTGGAGGAAGGACTTGACAAATGAACTGGAGCTTCCTCAGGTTCCAGCCTTTCTCAAGATTGGCAAGCATAGGAAAAATAAGACAAAGTAGTCCCTATTTTGTCTTATGTTTTTAAGGAGGAATAGATCAGAAAGGGGGGAAAAAAAGAACATTCTGAAAGAGGACAAGAAAAGGAAACAATAGGAGCAAGGTAAGTTTGGGGTGACAGAGCCACTTTAACAGTCAATACATTCATGTACATTTACTTCCGATACCACTTAATACTCTGCTATTTGAGTTTGCAAAGTTCACATTTGTTTTTCACATTCATTTAACTAACTTATAATGTTGCTTGCTATTTACTTCCCTGTATTATAAATTTGTTTACTGACCAATTTTACAATACTTTTTTTTTTTTTTTTACGTTTAATGCATTTTGCCAACAAACCAAAAACTCTGTATGTTTTGATTTAACATGGCCTCCTTTTGTATTTAACGATCATTTCCACTCCCAACTAACTTAATGACTAGTTTTGACATGACCGATATTAATTTCTTATAACATAGTCTGCAGCACTATCAAACTTAAGGGGTAGATGTTTCAGTGGTGTAATCAGCAGGCAATGCTTATGTGATAGGGAGAACACTAACTTGATAGCAAAGTAAGGGGTACTGTAAGTGCCAAAATTAATATGTCCCTCTGAAATGGTTGTGGTGCTTTTTTTTTCTATTTTTTTTTTCTTTTTTTTTACATTTACACGTTTTACAAGTACATCATTAATTTTTATACTTCACAATTGAGTTGTCTATTAATTTTGCTTATATGTTGGAGGGCCAAGGTACAGCTGCTGCAGCCAGCCATTTCTTAAACCTATATAATATTGTTTTACTACATAAGAGGTCAATTAAAAGTTCATTGATAGTTGTATTTTTTATATAAATACAGTGCAGCACTGTTGCACAATAATGTATCCTAAAGAAATCTAAATGGTTTCTGAATAAAGTGTTTTTCGTAAACTTCTACCATTCATATGTTAATTGGAAAGGAAATGATCTGCACTCTGTAGGCGGCTGTTGTTGATATACTAAATAATACTGATCTTTGCTTGATTTTTCATCCCATTAAGATGAAGAAAAATACTTATTTTACCTGTTTGAAGTTCTTTTGAAGTATTTGCAGTCTAATTTAATACTTGTTTTCATTAGGTGGGCTTATCACCTGATGCTCAGGACCAAATGAGAAAAATGCTGAGTCAGAAGGAGTCAAATTACATACGTCTTAAAAGAGCTAAGATGGACAAATCAATGTTTGTTAAGATCAAGACACTTGGCATTGGAGCATTTGGGGAGGTATGTCTGGCAAGGAAGACAGACACCAATGCTCTTTATGCCATGAAAACGTTGAGGAAGAAAGATGTTCTATTGCGTAACCAAGTGGCACATGTCAAAGCTGAGCGTGATATCTTGGCAGAGGCAGACAACGAATGGGTTGTAAGACTCTACTATTCTTTCCAAGACAAGGACAATCTTTATTTTGTTATGGATTATATTCCTGGTGGAGACATGATGAGTCTACTTATTCGCATGGGAGTGTTTCCAGAGGATCTGGCCCGGTTTTACATTGCTGAACTGACATGTGCTGTTGAAAGTGTCCACAAGATGGACTTTATCCATCGTGACATTAAACCAGACAACATCCTTATTGACCGTGATGGCCACATCAAGCTGACCGATTTTGGACTCTGTACTGGTTTTCGATGGACACATGATTCAAAGTATTACCAAAGTGGTAAGTATAACTAGGCAATAGACAGATACCAATCGTTCTTTTGTGTTGCTTTGCTCATGTTGTTTACATTGCAAGTGACCAGTGTTTTAGAGGAAACACTCTTCAAATATAAAGCACTTCATCAAACTAAAATGCCCTAGATCAGCAGTTCCCAACCTGTGGCACACATACCTCCATGGGTATGCGGGGAAAAATATTGGTAATTGTGGTTCTACTGCTGAAGAAGGGTGCTGCTAGAGGGTGTCCTGTCACTCAGTAGACATGTCCCATCAGGGGCCAGGTCGTGCACTGTGGCGCTATAACTGCGCGAGCAGGCCTCCTTATCTGCAGGAAGGAAGTGAGAGCCGGTCACTTCCTCCTTGTTGACACATCCAGTCACAGGGGTGGGGAGCAAGCTCTTAACACCAAACAGCCACAGCCAAAATAATCCACCGTCCTGCACCCAGAAGGTAGGAAACTGGATGGTGGCTAAAATTGTGACCTGTATGTGTGTTTTTGTTTGTCTGTATCTGTTTCTACATGTCAGTGTGTGCAACTGTGTGTCAGCGTTTGTGTCTGTTAATCTGCATATGTGTCAGTGTGTGTATCTGCATGTGGATCAATGTGTGTCTGTGCATCTGTAAATGTTTTGTGTGTGTATATATGTATAAATATACACACACACCAGTGTACTCTGGGGTCTGTAGAAAATATAGATGCTTTTATTCAGCACAAATCACACATCAATGTTCCAGTCTAACCGGACTTTTCTCAAGACCTTAGTCTTGTGAAAAGTCCGGTTGGACTGAAACATCGATGTATAATTCATATACATCAACAATATAATTCCTGTATTATGGCTGGAGTTAGCAACTGGGGAAATTCTAAAGAACAGCGACTTGAGTGCTGGGTTCGTGGTTTGTGTATGTATGTGTGTGTGTGTGTGTGTGTGTGTGTATATATATATATATATATATATATGTATATGTGTGTGTCTGTATATATAGCGAGCAAGCGCGCGCCTGGGGCAGAGAAAAGCATATAAAATTGAAATAACAGCAACTATATTAATTTAAACCTTTCGCTAATATGAGGGGTACAATCTATAAAAATGGGCTGTCAAGGGGTACACACGTGAAAAAAGGTTGTGGACCACTGCTCTAGATGTTTAAAATGTCCCTTTATGTTTCTCTTTCAACCCCTAACTCTATCTCTGAGACATCTAGCAATATGCTGGACTGTTTTCATGAGACTTCTGTAGTTACTAACCATTCCTAAAATGTGGGAACTAGGAAATAACTTTTTAGCTCTATATATGCAAGCAATATGGCTAACCCATTATATAGGTAAAATTATAATCCTAAAGTTTTACGGAGTTACACGGGTTGGGAACTGTGACAGAGCTCCAGTACTCCGACCAAGTACCTCTGCCAAGTCTGCTACCTTTTGGTTATCCGGGACCCTGGAGCACTTCATATCCAGTCACCAAGGCTTGTCTGGGATCACTGAGTGCCTTTTCCACCCTGGACCAGGCTAATGTGCTTACAGCCCTGGACACACGTTTAATCAGCAGATTATATCCCTTTCCTCAAACACCAGATGACACATGGTGGAAGTTAAAACAGCAACTGACTTAGCACACATATTTTAAGCCCCCAACAGCCTCATTTACATACAATGGTGCATAGAGCACTATAGTAAAAGGAAGGGTGGGATTAGACAATAGCAAGGGCTGATGGGAGATTGAGGAGGGACAAAGCAGCTAGTTTAAACTATCTCTGGGACACCGCCGTGCTAGGGAAACAATAGGACAGGAAAAAGGGGAAGCAGCACAGACCAGCAATACATGCAACATACCCTGCAGTGATAATGGGCACAGGGTGACCAATATACAAAAGGAATCTGAGGACCCACACATAGTTTTTGTTAAATGAACGTGGGGGTGTACGGACAGCCGAACAAAAGAGAATAAAAGTGTAGCTACAGCATCTGTTCCGCTACAGGGACTTTATGCGACAATGGCTGCCCAGTCACTAATTTAAAAGGTTTATTAGCTATGACCCCATCTGTCACAAATAGTACTTAAAATTGAGAAGAAGATGACAAGCTCCTAACCCTAGGGTGTGCATGGTAAGATATTTAAAACGTAACTTTTAATGTAGTAAATAATAAAGAGAATATGAATATATATATATATTTGTGTAAGGGGCAATTAGCTGTATATGGAGTAAGGTTCAAGTGAGAATGTAGGATAAAATAAAAGAGCAAAGTCGGTTCTGGTGTGCCGATACCGACGATACGGTAGGCCTGTAAATAAAGAGGGCAAAAATTGAATAACCAAAGATTTTATACAGTCAACAATTATCCAGACATTTCTTAATTCTTGTGTAGGTTTTGGTATATAGGTTGTGTAGGCGGATGACTTCCACCACCCCAATGACTTAATGATATGTACCGGTATGTTTGCGCTGGAAGCTGTGGAGGCCGCCCCTATGAGGAAGCAGTGACCTGAGTAGAGTGAAGGGTTAAAACCTAGCATGGTTAACAGAGATCTGATGTATCGCTTGAAAGTCTTAGTAGTGAGTACAGAGCATTTTAGTGAGAATAGGTGTAGTAATGGTGTTGATGGGGTAAGTGAAAGGTAGTAATCTAGAACTGTTACTGGACACCATTTGTTGTGGGTAGGGAAATAAGTGATCTCCACTGGAGGTGCGTGTTGGCTTGTTTTTGACTGAGGTAGGGACAGTATGTAGTGATCCATGTGGTGGTGGTAATAGTGAATTCCCTTGGCCTGAGGAACCCGTAGAATGCTATGTACATGGCAGCTTTGATGACTGTGTTGGTAGTAGAGTGAAAAGGTTTGGAGTCTAATAGGTCGGATAATGACTGGAAAAGTGTGTTATCTATAGGTAATCTCTGTGGAGGACATGGAGGAACGGATTGCTGAATACCTCTGAGTATGTTCTTTACCTGATAAGATGACCTAAAACTATGTGTATTGGGTTGTAGAGTTAGCATATGATGCTGAATGCCTGTCAGATATAATTTGATTGTGTTGTAAGATAAGTGTAATTTAAGGTGGCAAAAAGAAGCGAAGGCTATAATAGATGTCATGACGAAAGGTTGTGTTATGTCGTGGTCAGATAGGAATCTTGTGAAAAGTGTGAAGGCTCTGTTGTATGTTTTGTGAGTGTTGGATGATAGTGCTAATTTGGACAGATCCCTGCTATGTTGCATGATTAGTTCTAGTCCATGGTTAGCTACTGGAACGGAGGGGCGGCTGTGGCTGCTAGTGCTGCTGACGGGAGTGCTTGCTGAAAAGCCCGAAAGTTGAAACGAGACAGACTGTCAGCTGCTATGTTAGTAATGCCTGGTACATGAAAGCAGATCAAGTAAAAATTGTGACATGCTGCTAACCACGTGAGTTTCCTGAGAAATCTCATGATTGTTAGGGATGATGAACGGCTTTTGTTGATGATGTGACATGTTGCTTGGTTGTCTGTGTGGCAACGGACTGACAAGTCTGACCATAAATGTCCCCACGCCACGGCAGCTGCTACAATGGGATAAAGCTCAAAAAGAGCTGAGGTTGTAAAAAAGCCTTCTAAGTTATAGACTTCTTCAGGCCACTTACCCCAAAGATTGCTGCGAAACCTGTGGTAGACGCCGCGTCTGACCATATGGTTGGAGACGTATCAGTCACCTCTGGTAGGAACAAGCTTTTACCATTCCAGGTGGTCAAGAATTATTTCCACATGTATACGTCTGCCGTGGCGTGCGCATCCAAGGACAGTCTATAGTTGTCGTGTTTGAAATGTGTAAAAAGACAGAAGTCTGGATATGAAAGCACGCCCTTGAGGAATAATGCGCATGGCAAAGTTCAAGGAACCTATGAGGGATTGAAGTTACTTGCGGTTGCAGTTACCCTGCAAAATGTAATGGTTGATGCTGTTGAGTATGTTTGTGACTTTCTCTTGTGGTAAACTAGCTTGCATAGAGGCAGAGTCTAGTTGTATACCTAGAAATGTAATGATTGTATTTGGGCCTTCAATTTTCTTGTTGGATACTGGGACTCCCAGGTGGTCAAACAAGACTAATGGTTGCTTTGAGACTCCTGGGGGGAAAAGCGTTTTCTTCAATCAGTAAGAAATCATCCAGATAATGGATGACTATGGGGCATCTAGAAATGTTGAGTAACAACCAGCAAAGTATTTCTGCAATAGTGTCGAAGATTTTGGGGCTACTTTTTGACCCCAAGGTTAAGCGGGAGAAAAAGTAATATTTATCTGCCCATTTGATGCCATGTAAGTGCCATAGTGTGGGGTGGATAGGTAGTAGTTTAAAGGCATTTGTAATGTCTGTCTTACTTAGCCATGCTCCGATCCCTGCTTGCATAATGGCTGTAATGGCATGGTCTATAGTGGCATATTGTAGGGAAAACTCTTCGGAGGGAATAAGAGAGTTCAGACTCGGTGTAGATGAGGTATGAGGGGCTGACAGATCTATGATGAGTCTCTGCTTGAGGGAAGATTTCCCTATGACTATCCCAATGGGATTTTTGCACCATGCCGTTAAAGGTGGGGTTTTAAAAGGCCCAAACAAAAACCCCTCTGCCAGCTCTTGGGCTAAGAGTGTATCCACGGCTGTTGGGTTTTGTTGTGCTGATTGTAAATTTGGACATTCCAGTTGGCCTGTGGGCATATGTATAATGCCTGTATGGAACCCCTCTGAGTAGGGATCGACCGATATTGATTTTTTAGAGCCGATACCGATAATCTGTTAACTTTCAGGCCAATAGCCGATAACTTGCCGATATTCTGTACATTTACCATTTTGAAAAAATAAACTATTTCTAAAAGGTAAATGCACAAAATATAAAAGCCACATGCACTGGATGCAGTGTGTTTAGACAGTGGAGCTGTGTATATTTGTGTAGTGTATATATAATGAATGCAGGGTGTGTTTGTGTAGTGTGTATAGTTAATGCAGTGACTGTGTAGTGTGTATATAATGAATGCAGAGTGTGTGTTTGTGTAGTGTGTGGTGTATAAAGGGAATGCAGTGTGTGTGTGTGTGTAAAGTGTATGCAGTGTTTAGTGTGTATAGCGAATGCAGTGTGTGTAGTGTGCGTATAGTGAATGCAGTGTGTTTGTATAGTGTGTGTATATAATGCCTACAGTGTGTAGTGTGTGTATACAATGTAGTGTTTGTAGTGTGTGTGTATATATGATGCAGTGTTTGTAGTGTGTGTGTGTATATATAATGCAGTGTTTGTAGTGTGTGCATTAAACACACACACACACATTACATTATATACACACACACACTAAATTATATAGACACACTACACTATATACACACTCTGCGTTATATACAGTGTGTAGTGTGTGTGTGTATATAATGCAGTGTGTGTGTGTGTTTTCCTGAAGGGATGTGATTTGTGTAAAATGGGGTGGGGGAGGCATTTTTTTATTTTCATTTTTAATGTTTGTTTTATTTTATTTTTTAATATTTATGTTTATTTTAATTTGTAATATTTGTTTATTTTAATTTTTAATATTTGTTTATTTTTTTTATGCTTATTTTTAATAGTTATGTTTTATTATTTTTGTTACCTGCTTGTTACCTGGTCAGGGAGGGGGGATATGACAGTCCCTGGTGGTCCAGTGGCATTGGCTGAGCTGGTGAATACACTTTCCGCTCCAGCTCCCAGTGTAAATCTCGCGGCCCTTAGTGCCTGACGGTCGCTGGTCTCGTGAGAGTTACACTGGGAGCTGGAGGAGCTGCAGGGGAGGTAAGTAAACGCTACCTGCGCCCCCGCCTCACCCCCCCCAGGACCGCCGGGCTTGTAATGAGCCTGGCGGTCCTAGGAGGTATTATCGGCAATATCGGTATCTATATTGGCCGATACCGATATTGCCAAAAATACAGAATATCGGCCGATTATATCGGTAAAACCGATAATCGGTCGATCCCTACCTCTGAGATACTAGATATGAGAAAATTTACCGTATGTCTGGAAGGGTGATTGGTTAGTAGTGCTGAGAAGACATGAATTTTAACAGACGTTAGGTATGGTTTGGGGTACATTTTATTAGAACACATGGTTTTTGCATGTGCCCTGAAACAATGTGAACAAATATGCAATAACCTGCATGCACTAAAGCTACATGTGCCCACATTGAAATTATTGCACACCTGTGATTTACCAAAGAAAATGATAGGACGACCCAGTTTGTCCCTGGTGGTTCTCTTAGTTCTACCCACGTAGCTGGTGCTAGGTGACTGATTACGGTCGTCTGCCGTGTGAGAACAAAAATTGGTAGTGTGAGTAGTAGAAGAGCAGGATGCACAAGCTGGTGTTTTGAGACCTGCCAAGTGTCTACAGAATAGCTCTGTATCTAGTCTGCTCCAGTTGATACGGGTATCATACTGAGAGAGAGCACCAGACACCTAGTGGAAAAAGACTTATGGTAGTCGTAAAAAGCAGACCCACCATATTTGTTCCCCAGGTCCACCAACTTGTGCATATACCGATCAAACTCTTCCCTTCTATTAGGGTACACTTCACAAATTACATCTCTAAATATACCAAAGGCTAACACAAATTCTGGAATGGTCAGTTTCCGGTTTAACCTTGCGTCTTTGGATCTTTACACCACAGATACTTCTTCATACATATAGGTCTTATTCTCTACCACATCCTAGGAGGCAATTAGTAGGGATGCTAGGTTGACATCTTTGCCTTCCAGGATGTCTCTCTTAATGTGGGCTGGGATAGTGTGTGCAGGGTCAACATCCTGATAATCTGAAGAGATAATACCCATGGTTCGGTTGGTGCCTGTTGAGCAGAATCAGGAAGACCAGCCTTGGTGAGGGCTGTGGTGACTGCCTCGAGGTTAGCCAGTCTGTCATTGACCTTGCCCATAGAGTTCATGAGCGAGGCCAGCACAGCCTGGATATCACCTGAGTTGGTGTTGCTGGGGTCTTCCCCTGCTTCCGTGTTGTCGATTGTAGTGCTTAGGAGTTTGACTAGCTCCGCTTTCCTTGCTGTGGCAGGGTAGGGGATTTGTCGACTCCTTAACTCGGTGGTGATGCGTGGGATCGTCCAGGATCTGATTGATGCCGGACTGGCAATATCTCCCCTACGAGAGGGTGTCTCAACCCTAGTTGGGGTGCCATGAAGAGATAGCTCTTTATCACCTTCATGAGACATACTTGAATAAAATGAGAGATAACATTATTTGAAACCCAGTAGTTTAATACTGGCTTACTAGCTATGCCGTGAGGCGAAACCATTATGCTTATTGTTTTGGTGACAGGTGAGGCCCTGCTAGTTGGCAAGCGGCTTGAGAGGCTCTATCTATGGTTGTATGGCCATTAGATGGAGACAAAGTATGACCATGCCAGAAGATAAAGATGGTCAGAAACAAAAAAAGAGATACTTGGTCGTCTATTGACAATATATACAATGTTGCAAAAAAGAAAAATGTGAAGAGTCAAACTATATACATAATATATACATATACTAAGGTTTTCTCTGGGATTTGTTGAGGGAAATAATAGCAAGCTGAACTGTGTGACACCAGTAATAGAAGATAGTAATCTGGTGGAGAATCACAGCGATATATAGCAAACATCACCAGAATGCAAAATAGTATTTAACGTAATGGTAGCTATACTTAGCCGGGGGAAACCTCGGCAAGTAGAGATACAGTAACAGAACAGCAGCTACTAAAGTTTGTGAGGAGTGAAGTCCTAAAGAGGACTGTTGGTAAAGAGTAAGCAAATAGTAGTTATGGTATTGGTGATAATATCGGTGTGCTGCTTGTCACAATACTAATCTGTGCTTTCAAGGGCACCTATGCTAGAATCTGCAGACTAAGTCTGTCACATGTGCGGAATGCCAATCAAAATCACCATACTAAAGTAAATGATAATGTCAAAAAAGGTGGGAAGGTAATTCTGCTAGAATGATTTCCTAATCTGTGCCTTCAAGGGCACCTGTGTAGGTAAAAAGGTAAGTCTATCTATCTATGTAAAGCAGAGCACCTAGGAAGATCAAATCACCTGAGTTAGACCACAGCTGAAGAATGTAGTTAAAGGAAGTCTACTGTGATACATGTGCTGCTTGCACGCCTGTCACATAAAACGGTCAGTGAAAAATCTGCAGACTGGCCATGGGTGGATGGTGGAGCCCCGACGCGCGTTTCACCGGTTGGGCAGCTCTTCAGGGAGCCTGATAAACACTTGCTGAGAAACACACACACACACTTTTATTTTCCAATTTATGTCCAAACAACCTTTCTACCTTTGGGTAAGCTGTAGTGGATCCTTTCCTTGGGGTCCAGTGGGGCTGTTATAATCTTCAAGCTCTCCTTGCTCTACTCCCTATCCCGGCATCACTGCAGAGCACATGAGGAAGCATAGAATGAAGAAGATAACGGCTCCCTCCTTCGCCGCCTAAATTCATCCTTGCTGGACTGCCTCTGCCGAACAGGCTGATAAATACCCCAGCGCCAGGACAAAATTCTTAGGTGCCACGGCAATATGGCACCTGGGATTTGTCAAACCTTCCTCCAGCACTGACTTTCTTTATAGAGAAACAGACTCCTATTCCATGCCACATTGCATTTGTAGATTGAAATTGTCTGCATTATAGCAGGATGAAGATCAGACTCTGAACTTGCCATAGTGCCAGTACTTTGTATGGCAAAAACAGTGTGTTTTTTAATGGCTAACACATCTGCTGCACTTTTAACTAATCACTATCACATCTGTATTATTAGTACGACTAGAAAAGGAAATGCCTTGGGTGCAGAGGAAACCTTCCATCTTTTTTTTTTTCTTTTTCTTCAAATCAATGTTAAAGGACCCATTGGATCTTTGAATTTTAATACACTACACTAAATAGTAGTGATTATGCTGTTTTAAAGGGCCCCACAAAAAATTCACTGAAAACTCTTTAACAAATGTTCATGAGTGAAATTTTGTTTTTACTAAGCATTATAATTAAAGTTTACGTCTCAAATATATGCAAGCCAGAAAATGTAAAGTGGATGTAGGACTTGTGGGATTGTTTAAATCTATCCTTTAATTTACTAAGCACATTGAGCTTAAGTCTGTTTAGTTAATGCTTATCAATTATCAATCCAATCAGCATGCAAGATTGTTAATTTTATTTTGTTTTAGTGCTTTTGGATTATAAAGTAGTCTTCCTTTTTTTTTTTTTTTTATCTTCAGCTAGAATAGTAGCTGTACTATATGGTAAAATACAAAAAAAGGTATATACATTGTACTGAATTATGATTCATTATACATTTTATCTTATTGTTCTCTTAGGTGACCATTTAAGACAGGATAGCATGGATTTTAGCAATGAATGGGGAGATCCGGAAAACTGCAGATGCGGGGATAGACTTAAGCCTCTTGAGTGGCGAGCAGCCCGACAGCACCAGCGTTGCCTGGCTCATTCTTTGGTTGGAACTCCTAACTACATAGCACCAGAGGTGCTCTTGCGTACAGGTAGAGTACTTTTTATGCTGAAATGTGTTTCCTTGTTTATTTAGCGGGTACCTTAACATACTCTCAAAGAAAGCGAGTGTGTAATTTTTTTTTAGTTCTGTATGTTTTCTTTGGAGTTTATGAAAATAATTGCTTGTGAGCTGTCCTAATTTCCACTGATACAGACTTTCAGTTTGTGCTGAAGAGTACTGAAATCAAAGGCTTCCTGTTGAGAATTCTATGTGCTAGAGCTGCAAATTGTCAGGATATTTATATCGACAGACATTTTGTGCTAAGATAGAAATTAAAAGTGTATATTGCCAGAACAGAGTGGACTCCATTTTGGATTTCAGGCAAGACAGACACAAAACTTCTTTCCTTTCTGTAACTAGCCACTAGCCTGAGCTAAGGAATGCATTATATAAACAAGCCAAGAGATAAGCAATGAAGCAGGGGGATGGAATAGAAATAATTTTAAACACAGACACTAGTGACAGAGAAGACGAAGTAATTAATTTTACTTTCTAAATTTTACAAGATCCCATTGTAAGTAAGGGGTGAAATTGAGTTCAGAACTGTCAATATTAGAAATTACGATCAAAGTCGTTGCCACAAAGACTGAGGCAAACGCTTTGAACTGACAGCAAATTTAAGTTATAGTAGTCATTTTAGATAAGCCAAATGACGTCAAAATCGTCATCAGGAAAAGTTATCTCTTTCCTGGATAGGAAGGTTTAGTAAGGCGAGACTGCCCTCTATGGATCAAATACCTAAATTGCGATCTGCAGGTTGACCACACCTTCAGTATCCTATTGGCCTTATCAACTAATGACGTACAGAGAGTCTGGCCCTTTAAAAGTTAGGACAAAGGGAAGAGAGAGGTTAGTTTTGGGCATTCAGATTTGGACATTCAGAGAGATCCAGGACAGATATTCAAGTTCAAACTCTCTTGGACACAACTCTAGAAACACTCCTTGACACTTAGAATATTACTGATACTTTCTAACCAACATCACTTTTCTCTATTACTTACACACCTCCATACAACCAATCATACTTGCATCAAGTTCCTGGGACTACCTACTCATCTGATGAGAAAATCTACATAACTGGTAATTATGCTGGTTTTATTTAATTAATCTAAATTAATTAAAATCTAAAAGCATGATATATGACTGGATAAATCACGGTCAGATTTCAAAATTTAGAAATCTTAATTAACTAAAGAATATATAGTTATAAAAATTCCATTCTGCAGGTGGAATTAAGAATAATTATATATTAATGTGATATTATCAAGTGTTAGCATACCGCTGTTTTTATCCAGGTGTATTGATTTGCTCTAAAATAAGATATCTTTTTAAGCAAATTAAAATTCGGCTTTTGTAAAAATCTGGTAGATTATTCTTATTGGATGGTTCCAGGAAATGATTAATGAGCTGGTTCGAATGTTATTTTAATTGAAAATTACATGAGAATAGGATACTATATGCCTAGGAGGATCTAGCCAGCATTGAAAGGGTTACTCGGTTGATTTAACTGTTAGCCAAGGATTTATGGCTGGGCTGTGTGAAGTTTTGCTTTTTGTGTCTGAGAAGTACCCATTAATCTTGTCTTGACAGTTGACGCTGTAGCTTTGTACTATGTTTAGCCATTGTATATGACGTTGTACTAAAAATATTCACTGATTAATATCGTGCATGCTGCCTAATATTATTATTATTTTATTTGTCACAATAAATTATATCTATTTTTATAACAAATTGTGATTTTATTTCTATGGAATACATTTCACTTATATGATAACGATCTCTAAGATCTAAGAGAATTGAAATAGTGGGCAATTCTCAACTGTATAATATTATCATCCCATAAATATCCCCACAAAATGTGTGCACACAATAGTAGCTTTTTAATACTTCTCAAGCATTGGAGTACCGCTCATTGAAAAGGGAGAAAGGCAAGCACGCGGTAGCCCCACCTCCATGGTAGAGGTCATCAATCTTGACAATATCAGCTAATCCAATGCTTCCCCATAGGAAAGCATTGGTAGACTATTGTGCATGCACGGCAAAATGCCACTGCGCCAATCTAACTTCTCATAGAGATGCATTGAATCAATGCATCCGTATAGGGAACATAAGCATACATGCTGCACGGTGTGAAACACTGACCCAGGAAGCACCTCTAGAGGCAGTCTGTGTGACTGTCGCTTGAGGTGGAACCAGGCAGCAATGTAAACTACGCCTTTTGTATGAAAAGTCAGTGTTTACATTTAAAGGCGTTCAGTGATAGGATATTAACTTCAGAACAACTACATTAAGATGTAGTGGTTCTGGTGACTATAGTGTCCCTTTAAGAACTGTAATTTTGGTGTTGATTTCTCTGATTCCTAAATTTTCTAACTGGCTCCTAGATGCCAAGCAAATTTGTCAAGCCCTGGGCTAACCTGCTTAGTGTTCACCTTTCATCCGTCTGCAGTTTTTCATGATTCTCCTACATTTACTTTAAAAATAAAATAAAAACTATAGGGCACTCTAAGCACATCTACAGAGTCTTTGGGTGCTGTCTCGTTGTTTTTTTGAAGATTTGTTTTTTTGTTGTGTTTGTTTGTGGGTTTTTTATTTTTTTCTAAGATAGATTTTAAGTAGCCTTAAGTAGTAAAATGTAAAACTTTTTTAAAAAATGTTATTATTCTTTAATCTGTATTTTGTATGGAATTTGGCCTTTACTGCAGCACTACTGCTGTAAAAAGCATGCTCTGGGTGTGCCCCTGTTTCCTTTTTTTCTTTTTTTTTTTTTGAGATAGATATATGATATATGAGTCTATATCTTTTTTTTTTGTGTGAAATTAAGTATGACAGTGACAGAAAACATTTAGTGTGACGGAAAACATTACTCTCCGCACCCAAAGTCTTGCCTCTTGCCTGGTGCGCAAATAAGCATCCTCAAACTTTGGAGAGTGTCCAAATAATGCATTAAAAATATTTTTGAATTCCTACATTTGCTTAATGTTCCTTCCGCTCACAACTTATCCACTGAGCTCTTACCCAACCAAGCAATGAGGTGATTGAATCTTGATGCTCCCTTATACACTGAACAAAATTATAAACGCAACACTTTTGGTTTTGCCACCATTTTTCATGAGCTGAACTCAAAGATCTAAGACTTTTTCTATGTACACAAAAGGCCTATTTCTCTCCAATATTGTTCAGAAATCTGTCTAAATCTGTGTTAGTGAGCACTTCTTCTTTGTCGAGATAATCCCTCAACATCACAGGTGTGGCATATTAAAATACTGATTAGACAGCATGATTATTGCACAGGTGTGCCTTAAGCTGGCCACAATAAAAGGCCACTCTAAAATGTGCAGTTTTATCACACAGCACAATGCCACACATGTCACAAGTTTTGAGGGAGCGTGCAATTGGAATTCTGACTGCAGGAATGTCCACCAGAGCTGTTGCCCATGAATTGAATGTTCCTTTCTCTACCATAAGCAGTCTCCAAAGGCGTTTCAGAGAATTTGACAGTACATCCAACCGGCCTCACAACCGCAGACCACGTGTAACCACTCCAGCCCAGGACCTCCACATCCAGCAACTTCACCTCCAAGATCGTTTGAGACCAGGCACCCAGACAGCTGCTGCAACAATCGGTTTGCATAACCAAATAATTTCTGCACAAACTGTAAGAAACCGTCTCAGTGAAGCTCATCTGCATGCTCATCGGGGTCACCATGGTGGCCCTGTGGTTATGGACAACTAACACAGGTGCATGTTATTAATGGCATTTTGAATGCACAGGGATACCGTGACGAGATCCTGAGGCCATTTGTTGTGCCATTCATCCACGACCATCACCTCATGTTGCAGCATTATAATGCACGGCCCTATATTGCAAGGATCTGTACACAATTCCTGGAAGCTGAAAACATCCCAGTTCTTGCATGGCCAGCATATTAACCGGACATGTCACCCATTGAGCATGTTTGGGATGCTCTGGATTGACGTATACAACAGCATGTTCCAGGTCCTGCCAATATCCACCAACTTCGCACAGCTGTTAAAGAGGAGTGGACCAACATTCCACAGGCCACAATCAAAAACCTGATCAACTCTATGCGAAGGAGATGTTTTGCACTGCTTGAGGCGAATGGTGATCACACCAGATACTGACTGGTTTTCGGACTCCACCCTTTGACACTCCTAATACAGTAAAACTGCACATTTTAGAGTTGCCTTCTATTGTGGCCAGCCTAAGGCACACCTTTGCAGTATTCATGCTGTCTAATCAGCATCTTGATAATGCCACATCTGTGAGGTGGGTGGATTATCTCGGCAAAGGAGAAGTGCTCACTAACACAGATTTAGAGTGAACAATATTTGAGAGAAATAGGGCTTTTGTGTACATACAAATAGTCTTAGATCTTTCAGTTCAGCTCATGAAAAATGGGGGCAAAACCAAAAGTGTTGCGTTTATAATTTTGTTCAGTGTATGTATGCCTCTGCTGAATAGCTCCTCTTAATACAGCAATATACTAGTGCATCACATACATTTGTATCAATCAAGCTTATTGTAAGAGAGGAACAGAATAACAATTGATGAGCTTGTGGAGCAAAAATATTTTAAAAAGTAAAACTAAAATACTTCAGTAACTGATTTAATTAAGCATTGTGGTTATACCTCCTCATAGTATTGGTTTGTTTGTTTTTTATTTATTTCATCAGCCTAACCATTTTCAATTTGTATCTTAGGTTATACACAGCTCTGTGATTGGTGGAGTGTGGGAGTTATCCTTTATGAAATGCTTGTTGGTCAGCCTCCTTTTTTGGCACAGTCTCCTTTGGAAACCCAAATGAAAGTAAGGCTGGAAAACCATTTCCATCCTGTGTACCTCAATACCAATGTATCTATCTTTACTCAATCCAAAATGTTACTTAAAAATAATAATTTAAATATGTTCTATGCTGGTTCTCAACCTTTTTTAGTAGAAGTCCTCCTCGTGAACCTCCATACTTTTGTTATCTTAATGACCTTTTCTACCCAGTACCCTACCTTCCGCTTCATGACACTGATTTCATACTATATTCTCTGTTCTCTACGCATTGCATCCCTGCATTCTCCTTCTATTTTATAATGCTCTTTTGTTTTTGTTTTCTTACCCCACATTATTTTTTCTTCCAATGTACAAGTCACCCCATCACATTATTTCCCTCTCCTGTTGCTTTTGTCCTTTCACTGCATATATGTATCTTTTACCCCCCTCCACTCATAGCTTTTTATTTTACCTCTTAATGCATTTGCATTGTCTTATTTCCCCCTCTCTTTTTTTCTTTATCCCTCACAGTTATCGTCAGCTCCACTATTGTATGTATTTTTAAAATCCCTTATCATCCACTTTCCTCTGCTCTTTCCCCTCATGGATGTGGAGGCCAAACTCAGAAGGCACACTGCCTGATTTTGTAGAGATACACTCCACATATAATTTTGAGGCTTTTTGAGCTATTGATGTGCTGCACAGTAGTGTCAATTTTATTGGTTTGGAGTTCTCCTAGCATCTCACCTGCCTGAGTTCATCCTAAAGGAAAACCATACAAGTGAAGTAGGAAGGACGGACAGGTCCTGTGTGAGAGCAACATGGAAAGACTAGAGAAATGACCCGAATTATATTTTTGCAGAAGTTTTGGACAGGCAGTCTGAGAATCTTTTAATCTGCTTTTTGAAACTAGTCTTTGCTACAGGGGTATGCAGAAGAGATGTGCCCTACTGCAAGTGTAACTGAAAACATAATTAATGCTCTCAACAGATAACATGGGTAATGGAAATAAATTAAAATGTGAGCTTTTAATAGCTATAAGCCAAATGGCTAGAAAACTGAAAACCTATATCTGTCACCAGGGCCGCCACCAGAAATTTTGGGCCCCTAACTCCGCTCAGGGCCCCGCCTCCAAATACCACCCACAGGAATACACACAGACACAAACACTGATACAAAAGGACATAGATACATACTAACAGACACACATACAGGCATACATACTGACACACACATATACAGACACACAGGCATACATTGTGACAGACATACTAACATACATACAGACACACATGCATGAGGACATAAAGACATACATACATACATACAAACAGACCTACTGACATCCATACACACATACATTCATAATGGCATACAGACCTGCATACATACACACATTCAGACTGACATACATGCATATATATATACTGACATACATGCATACAGACATCCATACACACAGACATACGTTCATTATGATATGCAGACATACATATATACATACATAATGACATACATACATATATACATACATAATGACATACATTGATACTGGCATACTTACATACTTACATACAGACATACTTGCATACATACAGACATACATACATATATACATACATAATTACATGCAGACATACATTGATACTGGCAGACATACATACAGACATATAGACATACATACTGACAGACATACATTCATAGACATATAGACACATACAGACATACATGCATACATAGACATGCATACATAGACATGCATACATAGACATGCAGACAGACGGGCGGAGACACATAGACATACATACATAGACATAGACGCAGACGGGCGGGCGGGCAGGGGCGGGCGGAGAGACGGAGACAGGGAGACAGACATACAGAGCTCATGTTTCAGCCACCCTCCTGTCTCTTACAGGGAGGCAGGCAGAGACAGGCAGGGAGACAGGCAGGCAGACAGAGAGAGACAGACAGAGAGAGACAGACAGACAGAGCTCATGTTTCAGCCACCCTCCTGTCTCTTACAGACAGGCAGAGAGAGACAGGCAGGCAGGCAGACAGGCAGAGAGAGACAGACAGGCAGGCAGAAAGACATACATACAGAGCTCATGTTTCAGCCACCCTCCTGTCTCTTACCTTGTCTTTGCAGGAGGGTGGCTTGGGCTGATGGGAGTAGTCGCACGGCAGCACTCTTCCCCCCCCCCCCAGCAGCACTTGCTGAGGCTGCTTTTTCTTTCTTTTTTTTTTAAGGAAGATATAGGGCCCATGCTGTAGGGCCCCCAGGGCCACCAGGCCCGTGAAAAACCGTTATAGTTGTCACCCCCTGATGGCGGCCCTGTCTGTCATGACAGGTTCGCTTTTAACCCTGCAGCTGTAAACATAGCAGTTTCAGAGAAACTGCTATGTTTATGTTAGGGTTAATCCAGCTTCTAGTGGCTGTCTCATTGAAAATCACAGTGAGAAGACGCTGACGTCCATAGGGGGAGAAGGGGGACCTAAAGACCCTATAGTGCCAGGAAAAGAATTTGCTTTCCTGGCACTATAGTGGTCCTTTAAGTTTTTCTACCTGTGAAGCCACTGACATCCACACTACTTTTTACAGTGCTTCTTATTCCTCTCCTAAATTGTGTCCTGGGCTTACCATTACAAGTAATCCCTCCCTGTATAATTTGTTCAATACTTGCTTACCTCCTACTCTCTGAGATGCTGTATAAACTTACATGATTGCATAAGCACTGGCTGTAAAGCACTGCTTTAGATAAACTGAATATGTTACTCTTCCACTATCTATTGTGCAGTCTTTTTCCATTTTCAATAATAGTGAAAATGGGAAGGGGGGAACATAATCAATGATACTATTTAAGGGGTATCCATTTATAAGGGAGTTATTTTATTTTCATTTATATTTGTTTCTACAGGTGATCAAGTGGCAAACAACACTTCACATTCCTCCTCAAGCTAAGCTTTCACCAGAAGCTTCTGATTTAATTGTCAAGCTGTGCCGTGGTCCTGAAGATCGCTTAGGTAAAAATGGAGTTGATGAGATTAAAGCCCACCCTTTCTTTAAAAACATTGATTTTTCTAGTGACTTACGTCAACAGACAGCCTTGTACATACCCAAAATCACTCACCCTACAGACACTTCTAACTTTGATCCTGTGGATCCAGATAAACTGTGGAATGACGAGGATAAGGATGGTAATAAGAATGACACCTTGAATGGGTGGTACAAAAATGGCAAGCACCCCGACCATGCCTTCTATGAATTTACTTTCAGGAGATTCTTTGATGACAATGGGCATCCATACAATTATCCTAAGCCAATTGAATATGACTATGATGATACCCTGGATGTTGGACAGCAGCAGTCTGATGTAGAGGAAAGTGCACAAGCTGGGAAGAAACCCCCAAATCGGGACTTGGTATATGTATAAAGAAAATATGTGGGAAAAATTGTTTATCTGCTTAGAGAATGAGGTGATTATTGGCCACAGTTTGAATGGACACACTTTTCATATGGTAGAGTTTGATCAAACATTCTTGATTTCACAGAAATAAAAAATAAAAAAAAACACTGTAGTGATTAGGCAATGAAATAAAAGCGTAGAATGACCATTAAATAAAGTAGTGGCATTTGTTTTAGGTATTTCATATCCTATAAATCCAGACGAAAAAAAACTTTGTTCCAGGCTGTTAAAGCACCTTTTGGTTGTGCTTTCCAGTTCCTATGTTGTACTTTATATAATTTTGTTAAAAGCATTGCTTGCTGATGAAATGGGCCTCTTTTAAGTAAACTTTTATCTATAGCAACATTATGCAAGCTGGTTTTGTGTGGAATGTCACACAATATGTAACTTTTATTTACAGCTTGTTATACCATTTATTCTGTTTTTGATAAGGTTGCACACTAAATGTCACCACCTATTCCATTGCACTCTTATGAGTGCTGCTGTGTAATATAACTGGTTACAAATAATTCATTTTGTTAATTCTCTCGACTTGTTTATTTCTACTGAACACATATACTGGCTGTAATAGGTTTAAAAATATGTGCCTTGTAATGGCTAATCCAGTACTTAAATAAATTTTATATATATATATATATATATATATATATATATAAATTTTTTTTATTTGCTAACTCAAGTGAATAGCAAAATAGTCAAGATAATTTGGCTTTGTTATGCTATAATCCTATACACAGCTAACACTTGTTTTGTTTGGGGATTTTTCATGTGATTATTTTGTTCATATATGCCAATTTTGACTGTCATTTCACCATCTTTACTACTTTGAGTGCTCAGTAAACGCAATTTTCAGGTCTGTATTTAGGGGGCGGGGGGAGGAATGGTCAATACAATGTAGATCCCTTGGTGTAAACAGTGTTCTCACAAACAAATTTTGTTTGTGATTAGACCATTTGTGATACAACTACCTCAGAGATATATTGAAAACTGATTTCTCTAGTTAGGCATTTTCCTAATGTCAGAAAAAAGGACATGCTCGTGAATAGCATGGTAGGAAGGTATAACATACCTTTTCAATAGGGTAATAAAACCTAGCTCTGTGTTGGAAGTGCAATTATCCGTTTCGAATGTCATTTTAATATGTTTTGGGGTTTCTTATACTATTCCTATTGAGTTCCAAGGTGTAGAGTCCTAAATTGTGGCTCGAAACCTGAAGTTAACTTTTTCCCCATCAGCAGTAAAAAAATCTTTGTGGACAGTATGATGTTTGAGTGGCAACAGTATACATGTAGAATTAATGATGGCTGCTACTATGTAGTTGCTTGTCTGACAAATGTCTCATGTTTGGTTTATAACCGCATTGAATTTAGTAAATTTCCTTCAAACAGCAGTTTTGTTGTTCATTTTGGATAAATGGTTTAAAATGCAATTTTTGCATCCTTCTCCTTGGTTTTCAGTGTTAATAGAATATGTTCTGAGGGGAAACGTTCTTAGTTCTGACCCTTTTTATACATTAGACATTTTAACATTTAATCTTTTGGTCTTGTTGACACACATAGCTGCCCACACGAATTCCTTCTAAATACCAACTTTGTATTTTCATCTGTCACAAAGTTTACTCACTGGACTGGAAACTTCACAGTACAAATTTAGTTTAATTAAGCAGTGTTTCACACACAAGTTGTGATCCAACATTTACTAATTTCTTCCAATACAAGCCATATATCACAAGTGTAGCTGCAGTTTAAAATGGTTATAATTTTTTTTTCTATTCCTGTATGCAACATAGGTGCAAACTTTGATACATACTTTAAAACAGACTCACACATGTACTGTTGGCTAATCTAATGCTATTTTCAACTTTTGGGTGTAGTGGGATTATTGCATTTCTGATTTTGCACCTTGTGTAGTGTAGTATCCAGCTGCTATGACCAACATAGCATTTCGTCGTCATTTTTATTTGGGTTTAGGACAGGGGTTCTCAACGTTAGTCCTCAGCACCTTAGAGTCAAAGGTGTTTTTTTCCCCCTTTTTCTAAACACCTTAGACACACCCAGGTAATCCCCAAATCCTGGACTGGTAGGGGGTCCCGAGGACTGGGTTGAGAACCCCTGGTTTAGGAGATCTGAAAGTAGTTCTTCCAAAAGACTGTCTATTCAGCAATAATAATTTTCCAACGCAGATGCGCCCTCTGTGCTGCCTAGCTCTCCAGTAACATCTACGAAAAGATGGCGTCCTCTGCGATGGTTCTATCCAGTGCTCCTTGTAGGCATATGCAGCGAGTGCCGTGTACACACCCACACTTACCAATAGGAACTTCTTGCAGTTTTACTAGGTCAATACAGTGGATGCTCCTCAAGTGGCGGTTAGGAAGACAGGCACAATAGATAGATTTAACCCTGTAGTGTCCTATTAAAGGTATTACTGAAGAGATATTTATTCTTAAATATTATTCTTAAAGTAGCACTGTCAACCCTCCCCCCTGCAAAGTGAGAATTTTGTAAACGTAACATCATACTCCTATTGACTTTGTTGAAATTTCACTGAAATTACAACTAATTAAAAAATATTCTTAGACAAAGTAGGACTAATTTGTCTCAGTATTTTTTTTTACATCTGACCCTTAAGAATGGCTGGAGCTACTGCCATCAAGAAGTGTTAATCCCCTGTCGTCACCAATGTGCACAGCTGCAGGGGAATTTTCTCTACTATGGAGGGTGTTGAGACATGCTCCATAGACCTCTGTGCAGTACTCACGGCAAAAGTGACGTCAACTCTTAGTATCTGATGTGCCGGTTGCAGAAGAGGTCCTGACTGAAAAGAATGGTGGCGCCTGCGAGGGACAGTTCAAAGTAAGTAGAACTCATCTTTGCCTGCCCCTATTGGAAATACTGTGCGTAATTGTAATTCTGCCTTTAGTTGTATGATTCTAAAAGATCTACAACCAATCCCTTTTAAAAAATGATGACCAATGATTTGGAACTCAAGAACGCTGTCTTTAAAATATGTAGATATCTGGTCATAATGTCAATTACTGTAACTAATTGCTATAGCTTGAAGAAAACACTTTGAGGGGGGAAAAGTTTACCTTATTTTTTTTAATTTTTTTAAAATCATTTAGTGTGCAAATAATTTAAACTGCAAGCATGTACGTATATATGCAATTTTTTTTATCTATATATAATTTTTATATATATATATGCAGAGATTTTATATATTTTTACTCTGAATTTTGCCTTTATTTCCCTGTGGAAATGCTTTCAATTTAATTTATTCTACAGTTATTAATCTAATTTCTTAAAAAGTAAATTATGAACTGCTAGATGAGAATGTACTAGTGTGCATTCTAATTTAACTGAAGCAGTTTTTTGGCCTGCATACACTACTTACTCTAAATTCTGTACATAAACTGTGTAAATTAAATAATCTGAAATACAAATAGAAATATATTCTTGAGTTTCACCAAATGATAACATAAAATCCTGTTTATATTAGCAATGCCTGATAGTTTGATTCCTCTATCATTGCTCTCTGTTTATATAACTTGTATTTATGAATTATGACTGTAAGGCTTAATTTTCTTGTAAATACAAAATATTCTTTATTTTTTCTTGATCCATTTTTGCTAGGGCGGGCCCTCTTCTGTCCTTTCCTTTACTGTGTTTTTATATCTTTGTCCTTCTGTAGTACAATCTAAAATACAATGTAACACTCCACTTGGAAACTTAAAAGAGTGCATGCACAGTTGCTGTTGCAAGTAACTAAGATGTTAGTAGTGCAAAGACCCTTTATGGGATACTATTTTTTTTAAATTCGGGGATGTACTGGATGGGTTCAAATAATGCTGCTGTTACTTAAATAATTGTTCTCATTCAGAAAAAGAATGTACCTTTTTGGTAAAGGAACACTCCAGGGTGTATTTATGATTAGAATTAAAGTGAAATATTTACTTTTTGTTCCTTTTTTCTTCTTTGATCTAATCTTTAGCTGCTTGGGGCCTCATTCTAGCAGCCTTGTCACTGGTGTTCAGTCACACATGTGACTAACAATACATGGGTGTAAGGAAGATCACGTGAGTACATGAAATTCTCCATAGCTTCTTGTGCATGTGCAGTAAGATGCCCATAACATCTATTGCACATTGCTCAACACGGTGGTTGTTCTCATCGGGAGGCAGTGATTTGTGGGAAATGGCAAGAAGTGAAGGCAGAAGAAGCCACATTTTACCAAATAAAAAATCTTGTCCAGAAGACAAAGTAATCCTTGTTTTGTTTTATAAGATCTACTGATTGCAGTGGAATTTCTATGAAATCAAGTTTGTTTTTTTTTACCTCTTTTGTGTTTTTTTTGGTGAGCGTTCTCTTTACATGCGTGATATTGTTAATGCCTTAAATGAAAAATTCTAAAATCTTGCTTCCAAATGTTTTGTTTGTTTTTACTTTTTCTTCATTCGAGTTACCTTCTTGATTTCACACTGAGACCAGGAGCTGACTGAGATTGCACTTCGTTCCTTGCCTCCAATACTTTCTGTGAGAAAATTTGTAAGTTCTCCAACTGAATTAAGAGACTGCTTGCTTACATGTACCATTCAGCCCAAAACAGCATTTTATTAATTGAAGAAATTAAAAAAATAATCATCCCAGCGAATGCAAGCCGCAGGCAGCTTTCATTCATGTGCAATCTGTCCTTGATTTTTGGTTACAAATCGGTACCTAGGACTTTCTGGGCTAATTACATCTGACTTAGTTTCTAGTCAGGGAGATTCCCTACTTTTGGAGGTAAGTGAGCAGAATGGTGGAGCCAGACTACTTGGAGAAACCAATCCAAACAAAGTGGACAATTTTGAGCAAGCATACGAAAGCAGATTATTTTACTGTGAGTTTTAATATGCATCAGTGCTAACAAAGTACCTGGAGTGTTACTTTTAAAGGGTTATTCCAGGCTCCATGACCAGTTCAGTAACTTAAAATGGTCATGGTGCCTGGAGTCTGTCTGAGCAGCATTTCACTTTGAAACACAGCACGTACATTTTGTGCAAATTGCGATGCACAGAATCTAATTCATAGTTCAGAGCTCTAAACCAGTGAATGAGTGTCAGGATCGGCAGCAATCTTTTGCTGGATGTCTTAAACCCAGTTTCAGAGGACCTTCTGTGCCCGACAGGACCATGTAAGAGGACATGCCATTGTAAAATGGTTTGCTCCATTACTGGGATTCTCTTTACTTCATAAACATTATAGCAGGCTGTAGTGATTATGTTGGTTGGAGTAACCCTTTAGCTATAAATGTTACAGTACATTAAATCTTGTACCAGATGCAGTGCAGTTTGTAGCTTGTTTTAAACGTCTGTCTGCTCTCCAACTCTGTATTGTATATCGTTTTTTATCCATTTTCAAAAAATTTATGTGGATATCACATCTCATATATATATATATATATATATATATATATATATATATATATATATATATATATATATATATATATATTTATATTTTCAGGACCTAGCAACGGTTATTTGTTGGCAGCTCTAGAATTAACTTAAAGGGACACTATAGTCATTAAAACAACTTTAGCTTAATGAACCAGTTTTGGTATATATTCCATGCCCATGCAGTCTGACTGCTCAATTGTTTGCCTTTTAGGAGTTAAATCACTTTGTTTATGCAGCCTCAGTCACACCTCTTTGCATGTGAGTCACATGTAAAGTGAGATATCATGTTTATACTATCATTTATTGTGCAGACTGTTCAATTTAGAATTGCTTATCTCATGAACTGTTAATAGGAGCCTCGTATGTGTGATGAAAATATAATTTAAAGAACAGGATATAAAAACTTCTCAAGCAAGTTAAGGTCTGATTTGAAAATGAAACCTTTTTTTCATGCAGGCTTGGCAGTCATAGGAGGTGTGAAGATGGCTGCAGCATAAAAAGTAACAAGAATGTTTATTATCTGGCAGGGAATTGAGCAGTAAGACTACTGTGGTATGATCTACACATGAAAACTGCTAAGGTTTATTTGGTGACCATAGTGTCCCTTTGAAATGTGTACTGACACATTTATAAAGCCTCTGCAGTACATAAAATCTGTATGCATTTTCCTTTCGTTCTTCATATCCTCCTGCTGGATTATAGTAAACTCCCTTTTGGGATGTGTACAAAAATATATATTTTTTTTCTCAAACTCACACATATAAATATAATGCCACAATATAACAGCCTTTGACTATACACACATACATGTTACAATATGATTTCGCAGTGGAGTACCTTATTTTAATATAGTTAACATTTTAATTTTTGTTCATATAACAGTAGCAGTATGCAACTGCATTTCAAGAAGTCACATCAATTGCGCCTGTGGTGGAATCAGTGTTTCTGGCAGCATTGACCCTCCTTGTGGTCTAGTATGGAATAGAAAATTACACACATCTTTCTGATAATCCTACCTTCCTTGACTACCATATAGTAGACCAACACCTTCAGTCACATCCTGACACAGTGCCAAGTGGGATTGTGTGATCTAGTTTCTCCTATTCCCTCTGCTCTGCATAGAAAGTTATTCACTGGATATGGAGAGGAGGATGAACACCTTGTAAGGACAAGTCAATGAGCTTAGTGATTTACCAATTGAATACAACCAAAGGAAATCTGATATGTGTTAGGTTAACATTCCATTTTAACCAGTCTGTAATATGTTGTCAGAGGTCTTAATAGAACGCTGTTTCTTCGTTTTTTGTGGGAGTTAGGTTTTAATTTTTATTTAACACATTCAGACTACAATAGCTCTGGATATTAAAAGTGAAAATATCCATAACTGAATGTAATGGTTATGTATGATAACTGACATTCCTGATGCATTTATTTTTTGCCTAAAGTGTCTTAAGTCTTATATTGTTTGTGTTTCTCCTTTGTAACATCTAATGAAGTCAATAAAACAAAGTTTGAGAAAATTTACACTGTATTAAACATTTTTTTGTTTGGTTTTTTTTTTTGTTTGCTTCCCTCCCTCCCCAAACTCTTTAAGGACCAAGTCAATTGTACACATTCTGATCAGATCAAAACATAAACAAAACCAGGAATTTGTGCTATATGTCTGTTCAACCATAATTCACCTCTTCCATATTAAAGGGACACTATAGTCACTTGAACAACTTTAGCTTAATGAAGCAGTTTTGGTGTATAGAACATGCCCCTGCAGCCTCACTGCTCAATCCTCTGCCACTTAGGAGTTAAATCTCTTTGTTTATGAACCCTAGTCATACCTCCCTGCATGTGACTTGCACTGCCTTCCATAAAGACTATTTAGGCTTTCTTTATTGCAAGTTCTGTTTAATTAAGATTTTCTTATCCCCTGCTATGTTAATAGCTTGCTAGACCCTGTAAGGGCCTCCTGTATGTGATTAAAGTTCAATTTAGAGATTGAGATACAATTATTTAAGGTAAATTACATCTGTTTGAAAGTGAAACCAGTTTTTTTTTTTTTTCATGCAGGCTCTGTCACTCATAGCCAGGGGAGGTGTGGCTAGGGCTGCATAAACAGAAACAAAGTGATTTAACTTTTAAATGGCAGTGAATTGAGCAGTGAAATTGCCGGGGAATGATCTATACACTAAAATTGCTTTATTTAGCTAAAGTAATTTAGGTGACTATAATGTTCCTTTAAGTGCACCCACACTTATTATATATAATTTTTTTTCAGGAGACACAGGGATTTTATTTCATATAAAATATTTATATATAAAACAATTTAATATGAATAAAATTTAAAATACTTTGAGAAATTAAGAAATTGTGTTTTTGGTTGTTTTTTTTGTTTTTTTGTTCGGCATGGCATTTTAACTGTGAATGTCATAATACTGTAAGCTTTTATTACAATAAAATACACAAAGTTGTGTTCAACGGTGTCTCATGAGTGCAACAGTACCCCCCATGTACAGGTTTTATGGGGTATTGGAAAATTACAGGGTCAGATATAGCACGTTCCCTTTCAGTTTATACACATTAAAATTTGCCAGATTGGTTATGTTGCCTTTGAGACAGTATAGCAGCCCAGGAATGAAAATTCCCCGCATCATGGCATACTATTTGCAAAAGTAGACAACCCAGCATATTCAAAATGGGATATGTCCAGTCTTTTTTTTAGTAGTCACTTAGTCACAAACACTGGCCAAAATTATTATTCATATTTGTTTTTTTGCATTTTTCACAAATAAACTGTCCTTTTACCAATCTCATCAGCATTACATGTTTTACTGCTCTAAAACACTAATTTGTGCCCAGTAATGTCTCACGAGTGCAACAGTACATGTACAGGTTTCATGGTGTTTCGGAAAGTTACGGGTCAAATACAAAATTTGGCCGTTTCTGTTTCTGCACATCTAAATTTGCCAGATTGGTTATGTTACCTTTAAAACTGTATAGCAGCCCAGGAATGAGAATTACCCCATCATGGCGTACAATTTGAAAAAGTAGACAAACCAGGGTATTCCAAATTTAGTATGTCTAGTCTTTTTTCGAAGCCACTTAGTCACAAACGTTGGCCAAAGTTTCAATTTTACTCTGCTCTATCCGCCCACCCTGGTTCCTCCCAAATATATAGGATGCTCTTCCAGCTGTTTTGAATTACAGCCAATCACCTCCTCATTCCTTTCACATGCTATCAGCTAAGGCAGTTATACTATTAACTCTCTCTCTGCTATCATATACAAATCCCTCTGCTACCTCTTGTCTCATCTCCCAAGTTTAGCCTTTAGATTGTAAGCTCACGGGCAGGGCCCTCTACCTGTTGTATCTGTCTGTTCTTATTGTGTTGTCTTTCCCAATTGTACAGCTCTGCGGAATATGTTGGCGCTTTATAAATGCCAGTAATAATAAAGTTAGCGTTCATATTAGTTTTTAGAATCTTTCACTCAAAAACTGCATTTTCATTGATATCACCGATGTGATACATTTTACTTCTTTGAAACACTCATATTTGTGTTAAGTGAAGTCTCCTGAGCTCAACAGTATCCCACATGTACAGGTTTTAGAAAGTTACAGGGCTAAAAACAGGGCTTGCAAATTAAATTCTCTGGACGTTCTGCCTGGGTTCTCAGGCACGTCCTGCAAATTTTAATTAATAAAACTAATGTATGTAAAAAATTATATAAATATACACAGAATTTTAAATATATAATATACACATGCATTTAAATGCTATGTGTGGGGGGCGTGGCTTGGCATGCATTGTAAACAGATGTGCTTCAAGTAAGCTCCTCATACACAACTGATAAATCTTGCCTTTTTGCTCTGGATCCAAATCCTTTGCATACTTACCTTCTCCTGCAAGCGGAGATGACTCTCTGAGAGGATTTGCAGCACTCCTGAGACACCTACTGCCTGAACCAGATCTGTTGCCTAGACGCTGTGGGCATGCCTTAGTAGGGCGAAACGACCAATCTCCCAGCCTGGTTGCTCTAGTGTTCCTGACGCTTTCAGCTACCACCTCGTTTCCCCCCCTGTTCGGACTGGTGGGTGTTATTCCAGTCCCTACCAGGGACAGCTCACCAATTTTGAGCAGCCTTGGGGCTATTATTTCCCATACCTGACAAAGCTTTGCAGCTTTTCTAAGATGGTCGCCATACCACCAGTAACCAGGCTGTAGTTTGTGGGTTGCAGAATCAGAGTCTGGATCTGGAATAGATTCAAAAACTTGTTTATGCACCCTGCCTAATCTTTGGTGTAAGGCCTGTACATAGGCAGTCATACATGCTGCATCTGGAGGGTCTGGGGAAAAAAGAGGCCTGTCTTGGGGGCACAGCCAAACAGAATCTCAAAGGGGGGACAAGCTTGTCCCAGGCAATGGGGTGAAATCTCACAGAGAAGAGTGCTAGGGGGCGACACTCTGTCCAGGGTTTCCCTGTCTCTTGCATGGCCTTTGTAATTTTGTTCTTTAGGGTCCCATTTGCCCTTTCTACTTTGCCACTACTGTGGGGGTGGTAAGGAGTGTGGAAGGCCTGACTGATCCCTAGTGCCTTCATTATTTCTTGCATTATCTCCCCAGTAAAATGGCTGCCTCTGTCACTTTCAATCACTTCAGGTACCCTGTATCTACATACCAGTCCTTCAGAAGCTTACTTGCTGTGACCTTCATTGTGGCTGTTGACACTGGGTAGGCCTCAGGCCAACCTGAAAAGAGAACAATGCACACCAACACATATCCTTACACCCCCCTCTTAGGCAGTTGAATATAGTCTATCTGCAGTCTCTGAAACGGGTAAAGTGGCCTTGGTCTGTGTTTACCTGGTGTTTTGACAGCTTTCTAGGGTTGTTTCTAGCACAAATCATGCAAGCCTGGGTGTGCTTAGCTGCTACAACAGTAAACCCAGGCGCCACCCAATGGGTGTTTACTATACAGTTCATGTTCATTTTGGACAAATGGGTTCCATCATAAGGTTTTGGACAAATGGCCATCATAAGGTTTAGAACTTGTGGTAAACATAGTCTTTTACCTTTTCTCCACATCTTGTTATCATCAGGTTCTGCAGCTTGTTTTCTCCAGAGATCTTGTTCTTATTTTCTTGCTTGCTTCTGCATGCTCAACAATATATTGTAGTCAACAGTCTTATGAGTAGAGTGTGGAAGGATGAAGTTGGATTGCTGCTTGCTTGGCAGCTGTCTGCTTTGTGGTTTCATCTTGTAATTTCATCTGTGATAGTCACGTGAGCTGCCATCTTGATGCCTACTTGAGTGGGTAGCAGGATAGCATCCATAAGGGCACTCACGGCTTCAGAATTCTTGATTGGAGTTCCTGCTGAGGTGAGAAAATCACGAGCCCACCATGTAGGCCCAAAATCATGGGCCATACCGAAGGCATAGCGAGAGTCTGTGTAAATATTAGCTGTCTTACCAGAGGCCAGTTTGCACACGTCAGTAAGTGCCTTCAGCTTAGCCTCCTGTGCCGAGAAGTGAGGTGCGAGTGGTTCAGCTTTAATTACCTTGTGTGCAGAGACAACCGCATATCCAGTATAGAAGTTACCCTTCTCATTGGCAAATCGAGAACCAAAGTCTGGATTAGATAATGGAGACTTACATGCGTAAAATCTGTCTCTTGTGCCATTAATGCTGCACGATCATGTGGTACCTGGGCTTCAGCTAACTCGTCTGGTGACAGGTAATTTAAAGTAAGATCAGAACTACAATCTAATGTAGATGGATTTTACACCATACACCTTTTCAAAGTTACGTTTGGAGGCATGAGTAGAGCACACTGCATCCTGAGATGCCTTGCAGTATATACCTGTTTGAGCTGGACTTGTGACGAGATACTGTTAATGTCATGTGGAGTGTAGATGGTGACAGGATTGTCTAGGTCTCTAGGACAATGTCTGTGGCCTTGTCCAGCAGAGCTGTAACAGCAGCTACTGCTCTGACATAAGAAGGGGCACCTCTGGCAACTGGGAGTAACCTGGTAGAGTAGTAGGTCTCTGTTTCACATCGTGGTTCTGCGTAAGGACAGCTGTTGCATAACCAGCCTGCTTGGTGCAAAACAGGATGAAGGTTTTTTTTGTAATCTGGGAGACCCAGCGCTGGACCTGAGGTGACAAGCACCTTAAGAGTGTAAAAGGCTTCCTCTGCTTCAGGAGTTAAATGAAAGGGTTCAGGGGTGAGGCAATCATACAAGGGCTGCCTGTAGATTGCCGCAGAGCGAAGCCATGGACGACAATAGGAGACTAGAAATGTACGTAATTGCTCTAGGCTGCGTGGAGGGTTAATCTTTTGAACTGCATGTTTCCGGTCTTCTGTGAGATGTTTTGTACCATGGGAAATACAATAACAGTGGGAACACATGCCTGCAGTTTGGCCTTGGTAGCTTTGCACCCTGCTTGTTATAGAAATTTTTGTAAAGACAGGGTGTACTCTGTACATGATTTCTGATCTGGGCAACATAAAAGCAAATCTTCAACATATTGTAATAACACATCATCATCTTCCCTTGACCAGGCTTCTAGAATTGGGGCCATTGCCATGCTATACATGGTGAATTTTGAACACCTGGAATTTTTAACGT